TCAAGCTCATACCGAGGCACCATAACAGTACATATATAAAATCCATCCAAAATCCCTGGTATTGCCGCTCAACAAGTAGTTACCATGACAATACAAATCCACGGGACTTAACTTTTAGTTAATCCCATCCTTATTCCAAGTAGGTGGGTAATGGTATTGTTTTAAAAACCAAACCCATCCTTAGTATGCCACCGTCCCATACCGGTGCCTACTTTCCAATCCTCTAGTAGTCAAAAATACCAATAAATCAAGTATATATCAACTAAATTCCAACATCCAACATTCAATGTTAGCAGTGATAAAATAAGCATTGATACACAGGGTCACAACAACAACATATACTTGCCCAGTTTAAGTTGTTCCCTTTAGTCTGATATAAAGACAGAATTAATTAAAACTTCCATTTAACACCTTACAAATGACATACAGAGATGTAGGGTATGTATCACAAAATCCTAACCTCCATAGTTGATACTAACTGTGATAATGTAAGCATCAAAACAATATTCACAGTATATATGTAGACATGCTCAAATTATAGTGTTCCACAAAACCGATCTAGTGTTAAACTCAAATCCTCCTAGTATTTAAGTTCCAACAGTTGCTATTACAGAAGTTAAGATAGCTATCATCTAGACCCATCCTTCCAATAATTTATACTAGCAGTGGTAAGGAAAAACGTGAACCACAGAACCACAATGCATCCACAAACATGCTTAGTCTAGGTTGAACAAGCATACAACACTACTGTAACTACCAGTTTCATAGCAAAACAGATATCATTTTCGTTTGGTTTAATCTTCATTAATCCTGAAATCATTTAAGAGTGCAAAGAGTATGAAGCCTAAGGGAAAGAGTAAGGATAGAATCTTGCCTCAGAAACTTTTGTTTAAAGTTTTAACATCGTTTTCTTAAAAAAATCCCGGCGAGTTCCAAAACCCGGTTACTGTTCACGGGTACGAAACACTATTCCCGAACTCAAAATCTAATCTCCACCGTTCAGATTGTGCGACACTGAGTCATGAACCTATCCTCCAAATTTCAGCTCGATCGGACCACGGACGAAGCAGGATCGGATGTTTGATGAAATCTGGGCAGAATGGAAAAAAACTTGTGCGACCCAGTTACTGTTCACGAGTACGAATCACTGTTCCCGAGGTCAAACTCTGATCTCCACCATTCAGATTGTGCGTCACTGAGTCATGAACCTCTCCTCCAAAATTCAGCTCGATCGGACCACGGATGATGCGGGATCGGAGCTTTGATCAAACCTTGGCAGAATGTGAAAAACTGCGTTTTTCCTTCTCCACTTCCACAAAACGTGTACTTTGTTTAAAAAAAACCCTACATAGACGTCTACCTTATACTTATAGAGTTTTCCTAAACCCTAGGTTCATTTAAGTCCAACTCACAATCCTAACCGGCCCATCCAATTAACGTAGAAACCTACGACGGGTATAATATAAAACCCTAATTTAAACTGTAATTAAAACCCTAGTTAGATGTATTTACCTAATTACCCTATTCACCATTAAATACTTAACAAATAATCTAATTGAACAAAATAATAATTAGTAAACCCAATTAAACCAAATAAGACACACATAGAATAATTAAACCAATTACACTTAAACCATTAATGCCAATTAAATAATTAAAACACTAACAAGTAATTCCAATCAAATAACTAAACCAATTACACTTAAACCATTAATGCCAATTAAATAATTAAAACACTAACAAGTAATTCCAATCAAATAACTAAACCAGTTACACTTAAACCATTAATGCCAATTAAATAATTAAAACACTAACAAGTAATTCCAATCAAATAACTAAAAAATAAATATCATTTAAATAAATTAAATCACCACAAAAGAAAATAATTAAGCACCTAATAAAAAAAAATAATGACACATAATCAAATAAAATGCACTTAAATAATAAATTAAATACCATTAAATACCAGGAATATCCTTTTTAAAATTAGGGGTATTACATGATTTGTTGATGAGACTAGAATATTAAAGAGTTATACTGAGAATGTTTTAGAATTCATTATAATATATTATAATCTTATGAGAAGAGGAAATATATAAATAGATGATAGTATGATAATTTGTAAAGATTGTTAGAGCATAAGCGAGAAGAACAAGAATATGAAATGTTTTGCAGGAACTACGATCTGTTACTTTATTATTATCTCTACAATTCAAATACGTAGAGCTTTTCACTTTTAAAAAAAACTTAAAATTTTCTCTCAACCTTTATGTCTTCAATCCCACTTTCACACAATCCTATCGCAACATAATTTTCTATTTTTCTTGATTAACATTTAAATTAAATTTTAACTATAAATCCATAGAAATCATTGTAAATACAGAGAATTTACTTTGAGATATATTTAAAAATTGAAAGTAAATTGATTGAAAAAAGATAAATAAAAAAATTCAATTTTCAAATGATCGAGTATTTATGTTTTTATTTTTATGTCTTTTTATTGAATTTAGGAAAGCAAAACATGCGTAGCAAATCTAGTTATAAAAATAAGGGTCAATTACTTTCACACTGACACTCTCTAAATGTCTTATTAATATTTAAAAAAAAAATTAGACATTTTTGTAACAATGACACTCCTATCAGATTTTGAGTCCAAATAAAGCTTAAAAAGGGATAAAATGCCTACATTTCCCTTCAATATTTTATTCATATTTGATTTAAAATATCAAACCCATTAAATGACAAAAATGCCCGGAGGAAAAAACAATATTAACCTATCTAACTATACTTTCTCTCTCTAACCTCCCAATCTCCTCCATCACCACACCCTCTCTCAATCTGAAAATCTTACACAAGCACCATCTCTCTTTTATTAAATCCATTTCCAACCATTTGGTCAAAATGGCTTATCAAGGTTTTTTTGCACCAAAAAAATTAGTAACGGGTTTTTTGCACCAAAAAAAATAATAGGATTTTTTTTTGCCCATTTTGTATAGAGTAGGGGTGTTTCTTACACTTTACCCTAATTATATTATACTTTGAGTCTTTTTGGCACTAGTATTTCTATTAGGTAATTAAAAGATCATTTTTGTTTCGAAAATTAGAAAAGTGATTTGAAGCTGACGAAAACACCCTCATACTTCAATTAGGAAGAGCCTTTACTAGCAAATTTGTTGGCATAATAACAGACAAACAAGGTAAGCAACTTATGTGAACGCTTGGAATTCTCATTGTTGGCTACAATACAAATTTGGACCTTTTTCATTTTTATCATGGACAGAAATGACAATTAATAATATTCAGGAATAAAAAGAACAAATAAATCATATATCGAAATAAGAAATAAATAATTATATATGTATTTATGCGTTTGTTTGTGTATTACATGAAAACATGTACATACATGTGTTTGAACAATATGCCACAGTATTTCCTTTTAAATATGCATACAAAAGAGAAACAGTTGGGTTTGTTTCGTTTTTGGTTTTTGTTTTTTTATTTTATTTGTTATTGCTTATAATAGATAATTTTGTCAGTTTAGTTGCTGAGAAAATTAGAAGGATTAAAAAAAAAATTAGAAGATACAGTTTTGTTTTTCTTCTGAAATTATTTAGTATTTATAATATATATATATATATTTTGGATATAAAGGGCGATTAAGAGGACATAGTATGCGCACGTGCGCACGCACACACATATATATATAATATTGCAAGTTTATTTGTTTTTTGTTTGTTTTTTCTTTTTCTTTTTTTTTTTTATTTTTATCAAAGAGTATACCATTAAAATAATTTTTAAAAAGAATAAAATGATAGCTTCATCATTTAAATTGGTCAATTCACAGGTCAAACAATAATAAGGTCAAATTCACCTTGAGTCGTGGTAGGGGTATGATGAACTTGATTCTGGGTGTACCCCATGCTTTTTGGGGTATTTTGAAGGCAATGGTGAAGCCTGATCTTTGATCAACGATTGAATTTTCAGTTATTTTCGGCTGCATGTGGGACCTATCGATGACTGGATTTGAGAATTGGAAACGTAGTTCCTTTCTTCTTGCTATGGGACTCAGAATGAGAGAAGGGAGGCACAAATGGGGTACTGATACATCACAATCATCGTAATACCCTTTGTAGGGCCCAAACAATCACCCAGCCCAAACAATCTCCCACTTGGTAGCAAAAATTATTTCAGACATCCTAATTTCCTAAATAAAATGGCTCGGGCACGAGAAAATATTAGGTGCGCTGGATACACCGTGCATTGTGTCCATTTGAGCCGTCTGTATATTGCATGTGACAACGCGTGTTCATTACCGATAATTGGGATGCGCTTGGTGCATGGTGTGCTGAGCATACCCAATATTTTCACCTCGGGCAACCCAAACAATCTCTCTCCTCGTAGTCATTTTACGAATCAGTTCGAGATTTCACGAATTTATCTTTTTTCAAATAATCCAATATTATTATTTTTAACAATGACTTAATAGATGAATTTTCAACCATAAGTAAGACTTAAAAGTTAGTAGGTCACTTAGAGTTAAATTTTAGTAGGTGTTTAGGATTAAAAGTTAATAAAACTTAAAAGAACAAAAAAATAAAGATAATAGAAATAATGTATATATATATTGTATATAAATTTGAATGGATTGAATCAGATCAATTTTTAAAGACCCCAATCTGGTTCATGGATTACGAATTTCTTATTTATTAATTCGAACAATGAGACTAAAAATTCAATCCAATCTGCACAAATCAGGTCGATTTCACATATTAATGAATCAAATGAACACCCTAACTTTTTTAATTGAATGAAAAAAAGGTAAAAATAAAATTTTGATTTTTGACTACCCATGTAAAAGTCCAAAAATGAGAAAAAATGGATTTATTTACTACCCATGTAAAAGCTCAAAAAAGAGAAAAAGACAAAACCATCCATCCCCGTCACATCAAATCTCAGATACAAGAATCAAGCAAACGATTTTTCAGTTGCGGACGTGGCACACCACCGGAATAAAAGGCAACGCAAGAAATATAGAGAGAGACAGAGAGAGAGAGAGAGAAGCTAGAGAGAGAAAGTCAGGTGCTGGTTGTGGACGCACGCCAATCCTCCTCCTCCTCGCCACGACAAACATCTCCGAATTCCCACCATTTTCAAGAACATTGCAATCACAAACCCTAATCATCAACAACGTCATAATCTATCTGAATCGAATGGCTTGGAGTTATTCTTCAATTTTTATTCTTGGAGCTCAATAAACGACCGAGCCCAGATTTCGTCCACAACGCCCACATTTTGACAAATGTAAGTAATGGCAATCCGCGTTTTCCTAATACGTCTTTGTTAATGGGTTTACGGTGGTTATATGACGTTTATGTATGCAAGATTTGGGAACTTGGAAGCTTGGAACATATGTATATATGAATTTCTAGGGTTTATGTAAATCTGGATAAGTGGTTTGGAGCTGTTCTAGAGTTGTACATTGATTGGCTGAGTCTGTATATGTGGTGTTCTGAGGTGTGGTTTTGTGGAATTTTGAATTTCTAGGGCTTTCTTGACAGAGTTCATGAGCTGGGAATTTGATCTATAAATAATGGGGTAGGTGAAACAATTGGGTTTTTCAAGTTCAACTTCACATTTTTTGTGTGTGGAGTTTGGAATTCTGTTTGTTTCATGGGGCAGGAGGGTTGGACAGTGGCTTGTTCAAATGGGTTTTTGTTCTACAACTGGACTACACCTGATATTGCAACTTGAATGGCTGAACCCCAGAGGGCTAGTCTCGCGGAAAGAGACGTCGACCAGGTATCTTTCTTTCTTTTCTGCACGTGAATGTGTATTTGTATCTGTACATACAATTACAAATATGTGTATCTATGAATCATTCATTTTTAGCAGGCACTAGGAAGCGATGTTGCTAAGTTGTTGAATGACAAGGCACTGGGTTCCTTTTTAGTACACCAGTATCTCTGGACTGAGACAAATGCAGCATAGAAAGATATTTTCACCATAATGGAATTATTTTAAACTGTATTTCTTTTCTCTTTAATCTCATCAACAGGCCATTACCGTGCTCAAGAAAGGGGCACATTTGCTGAAATATGGACGCAGAGGGAAGCCAAAGTTCTGCCCATTTCGACTTTCTACTGTAAGTTGCATTCTGTTCATCTTAATAATATTTCACCTCCACATACACTATCCTTTCTTTCGCGTGTACGTATCTATATCTATATGGAACGGAGAAGGTAAAGCCTCTCCCAAAAGTTTTGCACTCTGCAATAATTACACTAATACCAATCCATGACAGAAGAAACCTCTACTGAGAACTTTTAGGATGACCATCTTCCTCTTTTTTCTTCATTCGAGAGAAATGGACAACAATTTATTAACTGTTGGTTTCGGTTCAATCATAATGCCTCTTAAAAGTGTAAATGACACTGCTTTCATGATCACAGAAAATTCCGAATGCCATATTGATCCATGCTTCAGATAAATGATCAGTAAAATTATATTTAACAAATCCATTATGGGAGGTTTCCAAGTTTGAAGCCTTGAACAAAATGGGCAACATGTGAAAATAATAAAGCACAACTTTTTTATTGTTTAAAAAGCAAGTCAAGAAAACCGGGAAGATCCTAAGTACATGTGAAGTACAAGAGTATGACACTTATTAATGTATGAGAATGCACATGCCCACCAAGAACTCTATGAAAGACTCTAAAATAAAATGGGAGGACTCAGACAGCACAAAAAATGGAAAAGTTAAGTGTTCAGCTTATGACTCTTGAACTTGTGGATAGGAAACTGAACTTCCCAAAACCTCACTTATTTCTCTCCCTCTAAATGTCCCATATCAAGCATAATGATGCGACCTCCTAAGCCTTTCTCACCATCCTAAGCTGAGTCTTCGTATATTGGCCGAGTCCTATTGACTCGGTTGAATCTTAGTCCGGTGCTCGCGGATATATCGATGGGCGTTAGAATCACCTCAGACTCAGCTAAGTCCCTTGTGACTAGCTAGAGTTTCGTCCGAGTCTATTCTAAGTTCCTGACGCTAGGCCACATTTGATGGTTTGTAAGGTGGGAAGCATGACTGCAGTTTCAGTAACATTACGTGATGACTGTTGCACCACGACAACATTGCGTCAGGGACTTAGAACCATGACCTCAACAGAGTAATAATTCCCTACCAGCTTCTTCTTCTTCATTTTTTTTATTCTCTTCAATTAAATTTGCATTCCCTTTCTTCTATCAAATCCTCATTTTTTTCCCTTCATAGTTCTCTCATTTTTTTATTTTTTATTTTTCTTCTTCTACTCTTCTTCATTTTCTCTCCCCCCCCCCCTCCTTTAAAATTTTCTTCTTCTTGCACTCGTGTACATAACACACCCCACCCCCCAAAAAAAAAATCAATTCTTGGCTTCGCCCCTGCTCCCAAGGTACTCTAATCATTACTAACAGCAGGTTTTACAACTATTAGCTATCCTGCATGCGGTAATTGGTCATTGGTTACTCTATATTTTCTGTTCCCAATTCTCTTACATAAACCTTTACTTTCAACTTCCTACTTGCATAACCACTTTCCCATCAAAGCTTAACTAAGAGGCCCCAACTTTTTTATACTCAATACTCCCTTCAAACACATTCATACTAACCAAATACACCCTTTAAGATATCATTCTGAAGCTTATTAAGTCTCTTTGTTACTGACACAAGGATTGTAAAGAATTATGGAAATAGGTTTTAGTGAGAGTACTTTTAATGGGCAAATGTTTATTTCGATTCAATAAGTACTGCTGCTTCCACCCGGCTAGACTCTTTCTGAAAACCATTCTAAAACAACTTCCCACATAGAGTGCAAGAGAAGCCCCAACTATATGCCTTGGGTAAGAATCCAACTGTGGACCCTATCTTTTTGCCAAGGCTTCAACTTCCAATATGTTCCAAATCATTCTACCTTACTTATCAAAAAAAAAAAAATGTTCCATATCATTCTACCTTACCAATCATTATACATTCACTCTTGCCCCAATTAATCCTTAGGCCAGATACAGCTTTACTATGGAACCTATGAGAGCTCACAGGAATGCAAGCACAAGCATAAAAAAAATTATGGAAATTGGTTTAGTTTTAAGGAAGGGCCTTTAGAGTCAAGTTCTTAGATTGTGTTGACTCTGTCGAGTATATTTTATGCTTCCTTTAGTTTAATTTTGCTTTTGACTTAAATTTTATTTAAGCTATATTTAGCTTTTTTAGTCAAGGGCCATTTAGTAGCCTCCCTTGCTCAAGTATTCAATCCTAGCAACCTAAAACTACAAAGGGTCAAAGTTACTATCAAGGTTTGCAGTTTTCAGAGCAGTAATAATAAGACTAAGAGGATACCTCATTTCTTTTTGTCGTGGCATACAACCTATGTGAGAGGAGGATTGTGTTAGTGAGCCAGGTTAGACAAGTAGAAAATTTGTGGAGCTGTTTGAATTTTGTTGTCACTTATCACTATATTATGTCAGAATACTATGGAAGATGCCCCATTCAAGATTCATTGAGACTTGGTTAGGTAGCCTCTTTTAAGGCCCAAGAGAAATGTGTTGATGAAGATGAGTTTGTGGCTCGAGCTGAAGATACCTCCATACATGGCCAGGAAGGTCTAAGAGGGGTGCTCAAGTGAAATCTTCTAGCAATATTTCTCAATACGATGTTTCAGATCCTCATTCTGCTTGGACTCTACTGCAAAATTTAATATTGAGGTGAGAATACATAGAGATTCTTGAGGAGGTCAATAGGCTTCATTGTGAAAATTTTGAGAATCTAGAGGATTGATCTTCAACATTCAACCATAGTATGCACAATCAGTTGTTCAAGCTATTTCCGTTTCCGTCTATTTGGTCAGCAATCCGTTACAGAAGCTGACCTTTGACACATCATGAAGATACTACACACTTTGAAGCAAGCAAATGTAAATATTAAGTTGCTTGAAGTGATCTTGGAGGTAGGAAAGACAGAGAGGAAAAGGAAATGTCAACAATCCATTACATAAGTTGCTTATAGTCTATAGATCACTTACATCTCAAACCTTCACACCCACTCTAACTCTGAATCTATCCATTGTTCAAGTCATCTTGTCTCACCCATTAATTCATTGTATTTATTTAGTAGGATGACAAGTGTCAACATTCTTTATATGGTCTATTTTGATGATGAGCTAGTGAAGCTGAAATCACGTCCAGGGCCTACTTTGTTTTTGGCATTCCTAGTGGAGAATTGTTCATAATTTAGTTTCATATTCAATCATGACCAAAAAAAAAAAAAAAAAAAAAAAAAAAGAAAAAAAAATTTAAAATTGAAGTTTAGCTGATCAAGTCTGGTCAGTTTACATGTCCCACATTTCTTCTGGTTTGAGCTTGACCAGGCCATGAAAACTCGTTTTCTTAAGCATGTAATCCTAGGTCTAAAAAGTATCTTGCTCCTTAAAGTATTTACTATTCCTGCTAGAATTCCCCAAAAAAAAATATCTGTCAATTTTTTCTTTTCTGCCTTTCATTTACTCAGGTTCTTCTGATTATGTTTCAGGATGAGTCTATGTTGATATGGTACTACGGCAAAGAAGAGAAACATCTTGAACTACGTCATGTTTCAAGGATAATTCCTGGACAGCGTACTGTAAGTTTGACTAACTGTTTCACTTCCTTTTATAGAAGATGTTCATGCAAATTGGGTGATCTCTTTTCCCCCACCATTTTCTTGAGTTCTTCCGGTGGGAGAGGAACAAGTGAAAGTACAGGCTGAGGGCCTATACTTCTTTGCAGTACCAGATAAAATGTGTGTACTCATGATATAAATCCTTCTCATACTTATGTTTCTCTTCGATTTTTAATTTAAAAGTGAACTACAGGTATCTTCTCACTTTCTTTTTTTCCCTTTCGAAATGGATGTCCTGAGACAGTTTCCACTCTTCTACATCTCACTTAGATTACATGTATACAAACATATATATATATATATATATATATATATATATAGGACTGTTCACTTGCTCACTGGTGTGCAAGGAATTTATGCACGAATTAAATCTTAACCGTTGGATATAAAAGAATAAACTATCTTTTTAACTGCCCAATGGAATCTAACGGTTAAAACTTGAGGTGTGCATACATTTTCCTGCGCACCAGGGAGCAAGTGAACAATTTTGTATATCCCCCCTGAACTATCACCCATTTGCAAATAACCCCCTGAGCTAACGGAAATACGCACTTAAGAACATGGTGTCAAACAGCCATTAACGGGAATTTGAAATTACAGTTTTGCCCATTATGTAAGCAATGCCGTTTCAAAGCTTATTACATTTGACAATGCTGATGTGGCTAATGTAATATCAAAGCCCAATAAAAAATCAACACCTCACCTTAGATCTCAGATGGTACAGGAACTGGTTGAATTAGCAGCGAGGGCAGAAGACCTCATATGGGTTTTCGGAGGCAATTCTGACCAGTAGAGCTGGTAGATTCTGTTGTCATTAGTCCGCCTCAAGGGCCAAAAGACATAATTGCAACTTATGAGCTTTGAAGCTCAAATGGGTTTTAATAATTTTTTTCTAGAGATGTATGTGCCATGGAATTCATTGCCAACAACTAACAGTTTCTATTCCAACAAAAAAAATACTCACGAAGAAGATAAGATTTTATACGTGTCCTACGATTTTCTCTGCTGCTCTTTGCATCCAAAGAAGAAGACTTGTAGTCTTGTAGATTTTTACATTTTCTCTCTACATACATTACTCCATCACATATATCTTTCCCTGTTTTTTTCTTTCCCCTTTCTGAGCCCAATATGTGTATGGTGTATAGGTATTTTTTGTCGGATTAGTGTGAGAATGGCATGGTTAACTAGAAAAGAAAGTGGGCTACTCATGAATCTGGTTTTGTATTCGAATCAATTGGGTGAGTTGTATGAGTTGTCAATTTCTGTTTAAATTGGGCATTGATTCATATTTGGTTGCTAGTTGCTTCTGAGGTGTTTTCTGAACAGTTTTTCCTTTAATTCCAAATTAGGGTATTCTTTATTGGAGAGGTACATTTTATTGAAAGAGAGAGAATAAGGTAATTGAAATACAAGATACTGACTTTGAGTTTTGGTACAGTGGAACCTCCTGCACTTCCCACAATGGCCTAATCAATTGTAAATTGCAGAAATTGGCAACCCAAGCACTTTCCAGTTAGGGTTGGATTGAGAGAGAGAGACAGAGAGTAGTTAGGGTTCACAAATAGCTGAATCGCAGAAATGGAGATAGAGAAATTCATTAGGTTTTGTTCTTTCCTATCGAAGGTGGGAGGAGGGATGTGGGGTTAAAAACAGGTTAAACCATTAGAATGCAATTTTTTTTTTAAAAAAAATGGGTTGGTCATGTGACTTGCAGAGGGTGATTTACCGTTATTGCATCAATGGAAGATTAATGGCATGGGGGAATTGTGGATAGCTTAAAGCTTTAGCTATTGCCTTTGGCGTTTTGTGTATTATTCTGGGAGCGCTCCCCTCTTGAGCGTCTTTTATGATGGATTCTTACTTGTCCAAAGAAAAATGGCGAGGGAGATTTTGTAAAAAAGAAGATAATTTAGGGGGTTAACTGTCTAACTAGTAGTTCAAGGGGGTTTCTTGAGAGAGTGAGAATAGTTCCGCGGGGGGCGGGGGGAGGGGTGGGTGTGGTCTTATGCAATTGTCCCCCTGAACTTTTCAAACTCCTTATTATGAGAGTTGCCTTCCTATATTCAAACTCCTTGCACACACTATTCTTTCAAAATTTGGATCACAACCTATGTGGCACTTTGGATTAATTATGTAAAATGGAAACTTCTAAAGGAAGCTGATAGGATTGTATTTAACCTGCACCAAGGCCTTAGCAGGTCTATAGCTTGGCCATTGGAGTGTTATTGAGGGGGTTTTCACCAATCTTGCTATACCAAGGTGTACAGGGTTTGGTTTGATTCATTTAAAGGGTCAAACAAAAGCTAAAACAAACTGATAGAAGTTCAGAAACTGAACTAATCTGAACCATATAAGAATGGTTTAGATTGACTTGGTTTTACATATTAAGCTTACCTAAAAATATAGGTCAACAGTAATTACACCTAGCCCAGAATCAAGCCTTACGCGGTCCAAAACACCAAACACACACACACAACACATTTATAACTAGTCCGATACCAAAAGGTCCTTGCCCTGATTTGATGCGTGCAAGCATATGGTAACTAATGTTGCCACTTAATTAATGCGTGCAAGCATATTGTTTTTCATGCAATCCTTGGTATGATTGTTTGTTCTCCCGCCTAAAATTATTAAAATAAAGATGAAAATTTAAGCATCTGATTAATATGAAAGTAGTTTTTTTTTCCCTTCTTTTCAGGCAATATTCCAGCGGTATCCTCGGCCTGAGAAGGAATATCAGTCGTTCTCTCTCATATACAATGATAGGTCTTTGGATTTGGTGAGTGTTTCATTGGTGTTTGTCTTTTATAGCTCAAAATTCTTGCTTCAATATGAATTCCACAAGAACATGTTAAAACACATCAAGAAGTTTGTTTCCTTTATTTGTTTATTGGACTTTATTTTTGTGCAAATCAACATATCTGTACGTTCAATTACAGAGGATTAAATTTTCACAATTGTGAATATTGTAGCACTTCCTTTTTGACATAACTACCTATCTCTGGACAGATATGTAAAGATAAAGATGAAGCTGAGGTTTGGTTTGTTGGTCTAAAGGCATTGATTTCACGTAGTAGCTACCACAAGTTGGGAAGTCAATCGACTTACAGTATATCATCAGATAGTCCACAAACTCGCAAAATCTCTTCTTTGGTTGCAACCCTTGTAAGTAGCTGTATCTTTTTCCCTCCATCCCAAAATATTTCCTTTTCAGGATGTCCTAAAATAATTGTCCCATTTGAAAAGTCAATTATAAAGACTTCTAGCTTATCAAGATTGTCTTAGATTTTGAAAAATTCTTCAAGTAATCAAGTAACTCTAAACACTTCTAGAGGGTTAGTTTTGGAATTTCTAAAGTTGGAGTCCCCAAAAGGGAAATTTATTCTGTGGCGGAGGTAGTATTTCTTATGTAGTTTTTGAATTTAGGATGATCCATTTAGCACTTTTAGTAATTTTTTTTTTTTTCTTTTTCTTTATACTTATATACTTCAGGATCAAGGAGATACTCAACGAACAGAGATCCTTCATCACAGTAGTTTGGGGAAGGCATTCTCTGACATAATTTCAGTTACTGCAGCAGCCAAAAGTAACACTGGAGTTGAATCATTAACCAATTCCCTCAGTTCCTCATCATCGGCAGTTTTTGACAACTCAAATGGTCGAAGTTCTGCAGCTGAGACATATCGAGTTAGCTTATCTAGCGCTGTTAGTTCATCAAGCCAGGGCTCTTTTCGTGAAGATTTGGATGCCTTAGGTGATGTTTTCATTTGGGGAGAAGGCATTGGTGAAGGGGTTCTGGGTGGTGGTGTTCATAGAGTTGGTAGCTCATCTGGCACCAAGATAGATACTGTTTTGCCTAAGGTATTGGAGTCAACAGTTGTGCTTGATGTTCTTAATATTGCTTGTGGAGGTAGGCATGCTGCATTAGTTACCAAACAAGGGGAAATATTTAGTTGGGGGGAGGAATCAGGGGGTAGGCTTGGGCATGGAGTAGAAGAGGATGTTTCCTATCCGAAGCTTATTGACACTCTTAGTGGTGTGAACATTGAACTTATAGCATGTGGGGAATATCACACCTGTGCTGTTACACTTTCTGGAGATCTTTATACATGGGGTGATGGTAGTCATAACGCTGGTTTGCTTGGGCATGGAAGTGAATCCAGTCATTGGATTCCTAAGAGAGTAACTGGCCTCATGGAGGGTATGCATGTATCATTTATCTCTTGTGGACCTTGGCATACAGCTGTTGTAACATCCACAGGCCAGTTATTTACATTTGGAGATGGAACTTTCGGGGCCCTAGGACATGGAGATCATAGTAGCACCAGTATTCCAAGAGAGGTGGGAATGCTGAAAGGACTACGGACAGTGAGGGTTGCTTGTGGTGTTTGGCATACTGCTGCAGTTGTTGAAACGATGATTGAATCTTCTAGCTCTGGACCTTCTGATGACTCTTCATCTGGAAAGCTGTTCACCTGGGGGGATGGCGATAAAGGCCAACTTGGACATGGTGATACAGAACCTAGATTAGTCCCCAAGTGCGTAGTTGCGTTGGTTGATACAAGTGTGAGTCAGGTAGCATGTGGGAATAGCCTAACTATTGCTCTTTCAAACTCAGGACGAGTATACACAATGGGGAGTACTGTTCATGGACAGTTGGGGAATCCTGTAGCTAGTGGAAGGATTCCCACTTGCATTGAAGGTAAAATTGCTAACAGTTTTGTAGAAGAGATTGCCTGTGGTTCCTATCATGTTGCAGTTTTGACTTCAAAAACAGAGGTTTATACTTGGGGAAAAGGTAGAAATGGGCAACTAGGCCATGGAGATTGCGAAGACCACAATACACCTACCCTTGTTAATTTTTTGAAAGATAAGCAAGTAAAAAGTGTAGTGTGTGGTTCCAATTTTACTGCTGTTACATGTATACATAAATGGTTATCTAGTGTTGATAATTCTGTGTGCTCGGGTTGTCATAATCCATTTAATTTCAGAAGAAAACGTCATAACTGTTACAACTGCGGGCTTGTCTTTTGCAAAGCATGCAGCAGTAGAAAATCCCTAAAAGCTTCCCTGGCTCCAAGTATGAACAAGCCATATCGTGTCTGTGATGATTGTTTTACAAAGCTAAAGAAGGCCACAGGATCTGGTTCTGTTGCGCGAATTCCTACAGTCAAAAGTGTAAATATACTTCAGAAGTCCAATGAGGTGGTAGAAAAAGAGACTAGAAGTCCTCAATTACAAGGACAGTTTTGCAGACTCTCATCTGCTAACTCATTCATTTTGGCTGAAGGCAGAAATTCAAAGGGCCAAATGAAAGCAAAACTAAATGGCAGCCATGTATTCCCCCTTCTGAATGGAGGTATTAAGAGGGGAAGCATTGCTACGTCAAAAGCATCAACTTCTATAGTTGGAGCTTCAAAGAATTTCTTTTCAGCTTCTGTTCCTGGTTCTAGAATAGTTTCTCGTGCAACATCTCCTCTTTCAGGAAAATCGAGTTCATCTCAGTCTATACCACTAACATCATCAGTGACTGTTCTTACATCTGGAGTGATTCTTGATGATTCAAAGCATAAAAACGGAAGTCTAAGCCAAGAAGTCCTCAATTTAAGGGCACAGGTAAGCCTTTCTGAGGATGCAGAAGTTTCACTTCCTTCAGTCACATTTGCATACATCTATGAATTTTTTTCTTTATGTTTATTGGCTGTCTCTTGCAAAGGCATGATTGGTATACGTTTTGCAATGCTTCAAAGCATCGGGATACATTCAGTTGTGACTTCATGCCTTTTACCTTGTCCCTTGTGGGAGCATGCCCTTTTCTCCATTGAAAAAGTCAATGTGAGGGTGGAAGATATGTAAATAAATTCATTATCAAACACTTAAAAGTTTCTTGAATGCGTTGTTCAATTCTTAAGAAACTTGAAGTTCCCATGAAGACTCGGGATTTTCAACCAAGTTTTGGTAACATATTGATTCCTAAATCTCAGTACCTCCTGAACAATCTAATCTCCTCATATTGTACATTACAGTTCTGTAGCAGCCTTGAAACTTGATTCATTGGAATATTCCCTTGAGATTATTTGAAACTTGTTTATCCTGTAACTGACTGTCATAAATCATTGACCAAACTGGAAACTTAACACAAGAATCTCGAACATTCAAAGCTAATAGTACCAAATCTTAAATCTTCAATTTTTTTGTTTGTTATTCTCTCTTTTTCTTTTTCTACTTTTTATTGTCTTCTCCTTTTCTACTAACAAGAACCTTATCAACTTCCAAGAGCTTCATGCTTTCATTTTTCATTGTTTTTCTTATATTTTCTTAACAATAAGTGAAACTTCTGCATAAATAATTTGCAACTTTGCATTATTAGGAGTAGCACCATTTCAATTATATTCAGTACAGGAGTTTGGAGTTCGTTGAGGAGTTCAGACATTCATGGTAAAAAATGAGAAAATATCTTGAGAACCAATTACACCCTCGTAATATAAAACTTGACAAAAAGTGTAGAAGTGTGCATCTATTAACATTTAAGACAAGCTAGGGAAATTTTTCTTGTGTTTTGATATTATATGGCTCCCATTTTCGGATTTCATAGAGACTTCATAGTCCATTCTAGCATGTCCCAGGCTCAATTTGGATCCCATGGAAACACTTTTCTTCTTCTCTTTTTTCCTTGTTGGGATACAGATTCTACGTTTTTTTATCTTATCAGATTCCAAACTCCTGATAGAAAAATCATTTGCTATTTTATTGAAAGGGAGTAAAGATAGACACAGATCCAAACAATGCATTAAGAAAACCAAGCCCCCAAAAGAAAAAGAAAAAAGAATAAAAGAAACAATGCTATAAGCCACTATAGTTTGTCAAAATTTTACAACGGAGTCACTCATATTCAGCCTACGAATATGAGAAATTGGCTCAAAGTTATATGATTGCATTTTAGAGAAAGGTGTTAACACATATATCTGAATGTTCGTACAATTTGATAAACATATAATTTACATTCCATCACCTATGCACTTATATTTCTTTGTTCTCGTCAGTTAACACCATTCATTATAATGTATTCTGTGCAGTAATTATACAGTCCATAACATGAGATGACATGGTATTACATTTACAGGGCCCAAAATATTATCAATATTGCACCTTTAGGAATTGACTTTGAGCCAATTCTTCATTTACAAGGCCCAAAATTACTTTCAACAATGGAACCTTCATAATGGAAGACTTGACTTTGAGCCAATATCTTATTTTGATAAAAGCTCCAACCAAAAGCATACGTTTAACTGGACTAAATATTATATGCAATTTTGACATTTGAACACACTCTTATATTTTTTAAAGTAACCCTATGTTAGTCAATGACTTGGTTACTTTTCAAGAAGAGTTCACTTCTCCATAAGAACCGAACCATACATTTCTCAAGTTAGAACTGATCTTCATTCAGAAAATAAAATAACTGTAAACTTAGAAGTACTAGTTATTAAGTACAAATTAGTTCCATAAATTAGTTCTTACCTGTGACTGAGAGAGCAGAGAAAGAAAAATAACGAGAACTGGAGCTGTTGGAGTAATGGAGGGCTGCTATGCCAAAAACAGGACATGAGGGCTGGTCCACAGAAATAGGAGTAATGACAAACTGCCAAGGCGAAAGCAAGAGGTGAGAGATGAAAGGAACTTAGATGGTTCCATTGGACAAAGACTAGTTGGAATTCACAATGTTTTTGCTTGAAACATTGAAAAAATCCTTAATCCTATTCAAGATTAATGCAACACCTAGGAATATAGTGTAAATCAACATATCGTTGTTTGATTTACCAATAAATCAGTGTGTTTGTGTGTGAGTGTGTATTTATTTCAAAAAGACAACTGAGGCCTGTTGATTTGATGTATTGAGCATTGACCATTATATTAACCTGAATTGACAAGATTACCACCATCAGGAGTTCCATCGCCTCTTCCTCTAATTTATTCCTCTAAATTGTCATTGAACTCTTTGGTGCGTCTACTCTCTATACGTATAGTGGATCTGTTTTGCCCGAGCGGGATGGTTATGACAGAAAACACTTCACTTTCTTCAACTATGAGCAGTTGGCTGTAATGATAATATGGTAGTGATGATATGGTGGTTGTTATGGTAAATGGAGGTCTGGGTTCTGTGACAACTGAGATGACGAGTTACAATGGGTGCAGACGTATTCAAGTGGTTGTAAGAACGGTAATAGTGGTTGGGATTTGATGATGTTCTGTGGGTGGGTTTAATTGAAACATTATTATTTGGATATTTGCTTTTTGTCGCTGATGGCGTACTGATGGACGTGAGTAACCGCATGCTAGTATTTCAGGATTCTGAAATTTTGATTTTTCTGATCACTGCTTTCAATTTTTAAATTGAGGAGTTAGGATATGGAGTTTAAGGAATTCTCATATGTACAGAACAAGTCACACCAATGGTAATTACCACCATCATGAGTTCTGTCACCCTTGGTCCATTGCCACCACCTCACCACCGTACATCGAATCCAACCCATCTTCACTACATGCAGACGCTACCATCAAAATCCTATCACAACAATCATTACCAAATATATATATATATAAATTTATGTCTTCTCTTTCAATTTTACAGCTCATTCTCCTTCCAAGTCAATTGTCTACTCTCTCTAAAATTTTGATTTCTCTTATTACACTTCTATTTCAATGGTGATCATGGGTAATAAAATAAGTTGATGTTTCAGTGGGTGGTCAGTGGGTGATGGCAGCAATATTTATGTGCATGGTTATTGGTTAAGATGGCTCATTTATAATGGGGTTTATTGGATGATGAGGTGGTGGATATGGAAGTTGTTGGCTATTGCGGAGGTGATGGTTTGTAATTGATAGTGGTATGCTGTCTTTCAAGTAATAAAGTTTGTCAATCATCAATTGTGCAATGGTTAAGATTATTGTTATATTTTTCCCTAATTGATTTTAAAGGTTCCAATGTAGAAACAAGTGCCAAATCACGGGACTTAAGTTGAAATTGATCTTTATAATTTTAAATTGCATCTCAAAGCTAATAAACATCCCAGCACTCCTATTAATTCTTGTTGAATAATTCCACTTCCAATTGTGACTAAAGTTGTGCTTAAAATCCAAGTGAAAAACCACGGTCGACTGCTCTCATAGTTTAAGATTGTTGTTCAAGATGAAGTTACCTGTTTGATAGTTGGATCAAAGTGCTATTGTGCTGTAGTTCTTTCAAGAAGCAACTCATGAAATGAGTATTCTGGATCAGCATTTCATGTACTTCAACAACCAATTTCCATGACACTTCACCCAATACTGTAAGCTTTATGAGGATCTCTTACACAACACAACCGAAAGCACAAACAAAGTAATTTCCAAACTGTTTAGGGGCTATTGCTTGGCATGATAAAAGAAGTTTGGGTTATCAAATTACTCATCAAAAAAAAAAAAAAGGGTTATCAAACATAAAAAGCCAGTTCAAAGTAAGAATAGCCACTTTAAGCGGATAAGGCGGAGGTAAGGTCTGTAACTAGCCACTCCTTCGGCTCCCTGGATTGGTAGCACCAGCATTGGCTACTGGTCTTTATGACCAAACAAGTGGCTTTAATAGATGGAATCCATGTACAATGAATATAATACTACTTTTTCCCTGTTACTATTATTGGATTGAACTGGTACAACCTTGCTGAGTAGAAATTGGCATTAAAAAAATTTGTAGGTTGAAAATCTTACTAGCAAATCGCAACTTCTTGAAGATGAACTGGAGAGAACATCAAGACAATTGAAAGAGGCCACTGCATTAGCAGCAGATGAAGCTGAAAAATGCAGAGCTGCGAAGGAAGTAATTAGATCTCTAACTTCACAGGTAAGACTTCTCTATTTTCAGGAAATTCTTTACTCAAGTGTTTTCTAGCATTTGATTTGTTTTTATTTGTCTGCAAACGTGAAGGGTTCAATTTTTTGCTCACCCAGTGCCATCTTGTTTGAAAGAATTATTCCTGAAACGATTTTCATTGTAAAGGTTAAACTTTTGGGGCATGGAATTTAGGAGCACAGAACCTCCGCTAAGAGAACAGCTAGGATAAGCAGCCTCCAAAGCTGATGATGCATGAACACCTACATGCAGCCTTTTTGTCTGCTTGATACAGGATACAGATATACTAGAGCTACATATTTATATATTTAACGAATTCTTAAATATCCTCACACACTTCTGGCACCGGTTGTATTATCTTTTTCTTTCAAGAAGGGAGGGTCATTGCCCTAACATGATTTAGAATGCTTCCAGCATTCTTCTGTTCTCTTCTTTTCCAGAAGAATTGCCTCCTGTTATTTATATTTTCTATTTCACCCTCTCTCTGAAACTAGGAAGAGTATATCATCGTTGGTGTTATCCCACCCTGGCTTCTAATCCATCAATCTCTTTGATTGGTTATTGCCTTATCTGTCCCCCATTTCCCACAAATTTCTAATGTGGACTTAACATTAAAAATGAAAGGGAAAAAATAAACCCTGCCTATCAAAATTTACTCAGTCTCTTTCATGCAAGTAGTTTTCTGAATAATCCAATGTGGCCAAATAGAAGGGAGGTTGAACTGATAAAAATAAACTTGATTATATTTCTTACCAAAAAAAAATAGAGGCTTTTTGGTCCAGTCAGAAATGAGGACTTTTCTATTGTGTTCCTAATAGGAAGTATGGTAAATTACACCGACTCCCCTCGAGGTTTGTCCTAATTACACATGGTGGTCGAAAATGGCCTTAATTACATCGCTCTCCCCTCAGGTTTGGCCCATGTGCCATTCTGTCAAGTAGCCGTTAAAATTGTACAAACATATTTATGTAATGACTGAAATGCCCTTTACTTGTATAAAAGGACCACAATAGCCCTAGAAAGTACTGTAAAATAAAAAATAAAAAATACCTAGAACATATCTCTCTCTAAACCCACTCTTGGGTATAATCCAAACGCACCACCACAACCTCCCCCAATTATATAAGAAGATTATATATATTTGTGTATGACACGTGGAATGTATTCCATCTCTGGTGGTAAACCACATCTGGTTCACACACCAAAAAAATTGATCCCAGGTAAAATCACGACCACTGATCTGTTGTATTCGTACCAAGACTGCAAACAATTTTGGTATTTTATAGTTAATTGACATATGCCAGAAAAATTAGAGCCACAGTCACCATTTCAAGAAGAAAGGATCAAAAATTGTAAACAGTATCTTTATATAATACCACAATCTCCCTCGCCTATATAAGCAGATTCTATATATGTATATGTGTGTGTGTGTGTATATGTATATATATAACTAAAAAGAAGAAGAATTTGACATCAACAGAGGCTTGGGGATTCTGCAAGCAAGGGGCACCGATTGATCCCTTCCAGCGACGGCCATCAATCTCTGCGCAACATATCAATCTCAGGCTTGAATTGACAAATTTCTCTGTAACGAGCCCCAACTTTGCCTCGTGTGGTCTCTGTCCAATTTTCTCTACCACAACCAATGATGATGGATCCGAGGCAAGGTTTGGCATTAATTCGTAGTGTCTTGCGGACGAGGAGGTGGTGGTGGCAGTGAAGGTTTGAGGTGAGGAGTTTGAGGGTTGTTTGAGACGGCGGAGCCGAGGCAAGGTTGGCGATATCATAGGGTATTATAGTTTTTGAGTAAGAATTAATTTTTTTTTCGATGGAGATGATGAGAAAAGAACAGGGGCAATTGACCGACAGTAATCACATTGAAGCATTTTTGAATGCTAAGTGAAAATTGTGGTAGTTTTTCCTTTTCAAATTGATTTCATCTGCGTATTTAGGTAGTTTTTCCTTTTTGAATTGATTTCATGCGAGTGTTCTGTTAGTTCATAACCACGAACAATTATAACAAAATTTCCTGGCAATAACAGTTATTTTAATGGATTGTGGGTCAATTTGTTTGTTTGTTAGCTTGCAGTTGAAAACAAAAATATGGAGGCTGTGGTGGGTGGAGAGAGGGAGGAGTGAAGTAGGGTGGTGATGGAGGTGGAGGAGTGGAGATAGAGGGTAGGTGGCGTGCAGTTGAGAGAGAGGGTGGGTTGTGTGAATTAATATTATTACAGGAGTGTTAAGTCCTTTCGCTTGTATTTTTTTTTATTTATTAAAATTGCATTATTTTATAAAGGGCAAATATGACATTTAATAATAAAAAAAATTGACACCGTAAGCTGACTAACATCATTTAGGGAGGTTAGTGTAATTAAGGGCATTTTTCGACCACTGAGTCTAATTAGGGCAAACCTCAGGGGGTGTGACTGTAATTTTCCCTATGAAGTAGGAACTTGTTACTCTGTCTGTGTGTAGACATGAGAGACAGAGAGAGCAAATTACTTCTATTGTACGAATTTTTATTGTTGCACAAGTTGTGAACTTAATGTAGAATCCACACTTCAAGCCCACTCCTCCCATGCATGAAATGCATCCCAAATATCAAATTATCATGTTATTGGCTACCAGTAGCCAAGTTACTCCTACTGTAACAATTGTATTACTGCAAAACTTATGAACTTCATGTAGAACTCGCTTCACCAAGCCACCTCTCCAGCGCATGTCATGCGTGGCAAATATCATATTTTAGCCATCTTGGTCAAAAGACTCAAAATTCCACATTTCTTTCATCATTTATGAATAATAAGTTTAAAATGCAGTTGGTTTCATTATTGATCACCTTGATTTTTGCATGCATGATGAGCATAGGAGGGATGGATAATCCAATGGTTTTGATACATATGGAATTCTTGCCAATTTAGTAGGAAAGCTTCCAGTGGATGTGTTTTAAAATTCACAATATTGTTGCCATATCAAGCTCTATGTCTTTCATATCATTGTTGTACTTTCTATATCGTCAATATTATTGAGTTTTATTGTGAGGATTCTAGTTATGGCTTTCCAAAGGAACATTACATATACATTGGATGCTGGTATTGTAGTTTAAGTTGTTATTGCACCACAAATCAACCAATTGCTATAGTAAAAAATTAAATTGAATCTCTTGATTCTATGATATATAATGAAGATGGATAAACTTAAAAGGGAAAAATAAGTGAATTCAGGTTAAATTGAAAGGGCGCTGTGGGACGTCTTTATATCTTGTGGCAGACTCATAGATGCTCCAGCATAACTTGTGGGTTGTGGCATACATAGATGTTCTAAAAGGATATGTCTTTCACTTCCTGAGAAAAATGAAGCCAAAGCTACTTCTTTCTCATACTGAGACGACAGACAGAATACATCTTTTGGTAAGTGGGCATACCTTGTGTGTCTACTTAACTTGGTGGAATGGTACAACAAGAGTTGGTCAATTTGCCGAAGTCTCTGAGAGTCAATAGATTCAAGAGAAAATGGGAAATAAATATGCATTTCGTCTAGACCAACCACCCTACTCAACAAAGTTTTCTTTCAACTACTGGTGTTCAGTTACATCAATCTTGTTTCGTCGATCCACTCTATCTTTGATATAAATTTAGTCAAAATATATACTATCATAGCTTTTGTTACTATCTCAACCCATGTTCGTTTCAATCTTTCCCTTCGCTTAAAATTACCCTCAAAATATATACTGTCATAGCTTTTGTTACTATCTCAAACTCTCTTATTTTATCTTTAATTGGTGCTACTTCAGTCGTTTCGTGAAAGTATTCATTTTTAATTTTACTATTTCTTGTCTTGCCACACATCTATCTTAATATTCACATTTCAGACGTAATTTTATGAAAATGTCGTTTCTTAGTCGCCCAACGTTCTCTCTCATGAAGTATGACTGATCTAATAGTTACTTATTAGAATTTACCTTTCAATATTTGACAAGACCAACAAATATATATATATATATATATATATATATATATATATATATATATATATATTTGCATGTGAAAGAGTTGCACACGGGATTCATGTATAGAAAAATGCTTCGTCCATCTCCAAAGTGAATTAAATTATACCGTTGATGTGATCAGGTTCCTGGGTAAGCTAATATGAAGCAGACTGAACATATGATGCTGGTGACATTGCATTCCTATACTAGGAAAATGCTGTTTTCTGTATTTTCCATATGAGTGGAACATTCATTTTGAGTTGCTGTCCCTTCATCTGATCGGTTAGACGGTTACATAATCATAAAAATCTGTTTGATCTAGGTTATTGTGTTGTCACTGGAAGAGACAATCAATAATCTAGCATCCATGATGGAACTATGTAGAGTGATTTTTTTTTTTTCTTAATGATTTAAAGGAAAATATATCATGTTGCGGGATTGTGTAGACCAGATGTTTTCAATTGTCTGATCCATTGACCTGTGAAGATGCAATGATGTCAATTCATTCCATCTGTAAAGACAATTTTATCTTGATGTATGCCAATGTATATATATTTTTCTCTCCATTATGCTCTATCTAGGACCATCATTTCAGTCTAACCACACCTAGCCATGTCTTTTCCTTGGTATCAAAACCAAGCCAATTCTTGTCTCCTCATCACCAGGTCACCCTACCTCAAGCATCAGAATCCACATAAAAAAATCAGAATGTCCAAGAACAGTGATTGAAAATAATGCTATGGTCCTTTGTGAAATCTCAAACTAAAATTAATTATAAGGACGTGTTTAGAATTATATGTTAACCATACAAATGCTTTGGAAAAAATATTCAAGTGGTTGTGATTATCAACTGTTAACCACCGTCTACTCCAAAAACTTAAGTTGTTAGAGAGGGTGTAACTTTAATAATTAAATTCTTCAACACGCCCCCTCATGTGGGGCCTTCTTTTTGGTCCACACGTGTTTCAATTTTAATTATCAATGAGGTTTGAACTCGAGACCTTTGGCTATAATGCCATGTTAACCACCGTCTACTCCAAAAGCTTGAGCTCTTAGAGAGGGTGTAACTTTTAACATTTAAATCCTTCAACATTAACTAAGTAACATATTTTCAACGTAATCCCTCTCCAGACCCAGCAATGACAGGAGTCTCGTGTACTGGCCTAGCCCTTAATATATAATTGATTTAAGAGGTCTCATAGCACATGGCATTTCTCCTCGTACCATGTCTGCTCATCTTCATCATTTTGAAGATAGTCTCGAATCATATTCATGCGCTGTTACTATAGGCAATCTATAGATTTTGCAGAAACTATATTCACGAATTATGTGCTATTACCAAGGGTTGTAGACTTGTAGCCCAGTGGTATCGCTTCTACCCCTTGAAGTTTTTAAAGTGGAAGGTTGAGGGTTCAACTCAACTCCCATAGGAGGAAAAGCGAGTGGGTTTGTTATTTGGCAGGATAAAATTAAAAAAAAATCATGTACCATAAAAAATCACAGAATTCCCATCTGGTGATGATAAGCTCACATTCCCACGGTAAGCACTGAGGTAATAGAACTTCTGGATTTCCTAACATAATTGTTACCATTTATTGAATCCTGACATGGCAGCAAGTGTATTGCTGACGAATTAAAAAGAAAAACAACGAACAATCGCAAAGCATAAATCCATTAATCAAGTTTCCCTCTTTTTTCTCAACATTGTTTATTTACATATTACTTTTGGTGGGGGAGGGGTGCTGCTTCTCACTTGTGTTGTTTAATGTTTTGGCAGTTAAAGGATATGGCTGCCAAAGTGCCAGATGGGCATATTGCCAGCAGGAAATTAGATTCTCTTGTTGGACACGCATCGAGTAATCCAAATCTGCCTCCTAATGAAAGTAACTTGACATGCCTAGAGCCTTCAAAGAGCTTGTCCATTGACAATCCAACTAATTCATTTCCATCAAACGGAAAAAAGGCTCAAGCAGACAAGGCAGAAAGGGTTGTACAAGATGAACCGGGCGTGTACATAACTCTTTCCTCCTTCCCTGGGGGCGGCAATGAGCTCAAACGAGTTCGCTTCAGGTACTGATTTATTGCCATCTTTTGTAACCATGGGTCAGCAGCAATATACACAACACAACTGAATATCTAAGCAACATTCTTTTTTCCCAGCTTCAATCTACATTATTGGCATCCTTTCTCATATCCTTGCACTGCCTTCAGCCAGAAGCTGGTTAATTGTCATTGCTGTAATCAGTAATTCTATGCTCATTGTGAAACTAATCCAGTCCATTCTATCACATGATTTTCAATTGGTTCTGCTTCTAATTCTTCATAAATTCATTCTTTTCTAGTCTTATTGGTTTCTCTCTTGCCTGTCAATGTCATCATGTCCACTGTAGTCGTTAAAAGTCCAGCATATATATTGAACTCAAATTTTGGTGGATTTCTTTGCATAGAACTCCGATTGTCTCAGTTTAAGGATAGAATTTTATTTTCAATCAGATACCAATTCTTGAGATATGTATGACTAGCAGATTGTTTCAAATAAACTGTCTTCCTTCCATTTATGAATATCCTATATTCTAGCAAATATAATAGAAAATAATTAATTATTGGATAGGTTTTCATAAGTGATTTCTTTTTGGGTTGGTGTGCTTAGTGATTGTTACTTTGATATTCCCAAAACCATTAACATCTGCTACCTGGACAGATTGCCTTTGAACACTATCCCTTCTTCTTTCCTTGCAATATTCTATTTTCCTGAAAGAATAGTAAGTCCATTCCTAGTATCTTCTTTTGGGTATATGAGTGAAAAGAATAACAAGTCAATTCTTCTGGCAATTTGTAGTTCTCCCGTAGAGGATATCTCTTAGTGAGGGATATCGGAGATCTGATTCTCACTAGAGATGTAAGGAGTCCTTATGATGCTTGCCATAACCTTCTAGACCTTTTGGCTCACTCGTATTTCTCCGGATTAAAGGCTGCCTAAAATTCTTGTACTCAGAGTCACAAATAAGGCTGAGATATGGTCTCATGTTGCCGCTTTCTCCAGCCTTCGGTTCCCCTTACTCATAAAGGGTCTTTATTTTTTCTCCTTTTTGTTGGAACTTCATGAAGAACACCTATTCCATCTCTCCCTCGTTTCGAACAAAAAATTGGGCTGCACATCAAAGCCATTGGATTTGGTAGTTCTCCATTGACTTCCCTCTTTACACCTTTGCATATGTGTTCCTAAATGGGTGTTAACCTCTAGATGGGAAGGAGACGGCCTCCCACTCTCTTATGCTAGGAGGTAATAAATGAAGTTCCTTCTGAAATGTTGTAGCCACAAAGAGTGTAAAGAATATAAGATGCATGCTGCATAAAGCAGTTTGAGCTGAAGCTATTTTTAAGGAAGCCTTCTATGTCATAGCTTCATTAACAGTAGAAATACAATAGAGAAGGAAAATGAGAGAATTGTGTAAAGGCTTGAATGAGATTAATCACTCATTCATAGCTTTAGTATTTATAGATAAAAAGAGCGCATGCTCATATTACAAAGAAAATTAAATCAAATCACAACATATTCTATGGCATATTCTGTAGCATAATCAAATCTCTGCTAATATAGTAAGTCGTTCCATAAATCGTGGCTATCATATTTGCTAACATTCCCCCTTAAGTTGGTGCGTGGACATCTGAGACACCCAACTTGGACAACGCATCTTCAAACACGGTCTTATTAGCACCCTTCTTTAGAATCTACAAGTTGCAGAGTGCAAATCTGACTAGATTAAAAATGTCGATTGACAAACCAAAAATGTCTCCTCAGACCATTTAATTTTTTTTTTTTTTTTTTTGAGATAGGTAAAGAAAATATATATATATTAACAAAGGCGCTCAAAGGGGAGCGAACCCTTGACAAACCAAAAATATCTCCTCAGATCGTAAACAACCAATCACGTCTCCTCAGACCGTAAACAAACAGCAATGTCTTCTCAGACCATTTTCCTTCATACACATGTTTAAAACATGTAGATGGAAGAATCAACAATGTCTCCTCAGACCATTCCCCTTCATACATATGTTTAAACAATGTAGATGAAAGAATCAACAATGTCTCCTCAGACCATAAAAAGAAACAACTATGTCTCCTCAGACCATTTCTGAATAGGGCCAATAGGCGGTGTCAAACTCGCAACACCCTCATTGAGGTCGGATCACCCTGCTTACCCGACACCTCCTGGATGGGCGATCTCACCTTAGACCATTCCCGAATGGGTGGTGCCAAACTCGCAATGCTCTCATTGCAGTCGGACCACCCTGGCTCTGATACCAAGGAGAAATACAATATAGAAGGAAAATGAAAGAATTGTGTAAAGTCTTGAATGAGATTAATCACTCATTCACAGCTCTAGTATTTATGGATAAAAAGAGTGCATGCTCATATTACAAGAAAGGAAATTAAATCAAATCACAGCATATTCTATAGCATAATCAAATCTTTACTAATACGGTAAGTCATTCCATAAATCGAGGTTATCATATCTGCTAACATTAACCATGTCCCTATCAATCGTGCAAATGCTTCTCCTCAACCTGAATTATACACTACCTATTTGATCAGTTGCCACTAAAAGAGAAAGAGATAAAAAAAATTCTATAAAATTATTAGAATATACTAGTATATGATTATGTAGCTTAAATTGTTGAATTGATTAATTTTATTTTTTGAAAATTTGGTGTTTTTCTACAGTCGGAGGCGTTTCACCGAGGAACAAGCAGAGAAGTGGTGGGCTGAAAATGGGGATAAAGTCTGTGAGCGGCATAATGTACGAACTTCAGAGTAGTATCCAGCTGTAACTATCAGGGATAAAGTCTGCAGAGGCAGCTTAATAGATGAACTTCAGAGTAATATTCAGCTGGTACCCCATGGACAAAAGAGAGCCTGACAACTCTTTTTTATGACCCTCTCCTCTAACTGAAACTGTAAATGTTTTTTATTTTCTTGTTTTTTCCCCTCACTCAGTGGAGTATCAAGGATCCTGGGTCAGACATTCACAGGTAGATTAAGATGCAAGGAAAGTAAGAAGGTAGGAAAGAATGTAAAAAACGATCAAGTGACAACACAATTTTGATGAATGTAAGCAGTAGCTAATGTAAGTTTGTGCAGCTTTATTTTCATTCTTGAGAAAAGTTGACAAAGTTTTAGATTTTCAGCTTTGGCGCTTTTCCTTACATTTTACCTTTCCTTTTGTCTAAACGAAGTTCACGAATGTAACCAAGTTCGAACTGTTTTCTGCCACGTGTCCTAAAGATTTTGTAGTGGAATGGGATTTGTGGGTCCTAAAGCTTTGGGGTATGCATGATTAAAATGGGAAAGTCTTGAATATGAATCCTGCGCTCCAATATTCTGCACTGAAACATAATCAATGCCTTCACTCAATCTTCCTGTTGTTAAGGGCAGGATTGTGTTTCGGGGTAGCAATGGTGCCATTATGCTTCTTGGAGTGTTTTCAGCAGCTCATGCACGAAGTCTGCTAGTCATTGAAGCTTTGGTGTTGTGACAAGATTCTTTTAAGGGTAGCTATCCTCTCAATCGTTGAAGCTTTAAGTCCATCAGTAGACCAGGGATGGTTTTAGATTGTTGGAATGACCACTAAGTTTGAGTCTCGTTCCTTTGATTTTGTGTATAGAAATGCAAATACTTTAACAACTCTAAGTCCATCAGTAGACCAGGGTTGGTTTTAGATAGAGTCCATCCCTGATTCCTTCCCTCTATTGTTTTGGCAGTTGGTTTGGATTGTAACTTTCTGATAATTAATAATAGTATTTTTCTTTGCCTGAGATAAAAAATTGTTCCTGTAACTTTCTGATAATTAATAATAGTATTTTTCTTTGCCTGAGATAAAAAATTGTTCCGAGATAATTATTTTTTTTTTTTTGTTTGTTTTTGGAACCAAAATCTTAATCATTGGTGGTATAAAGACACGGACATAACCAATTTAAAATATAATGGAGTTGGCTTAAGCTGTTTGTCTCACTTTATGAATTTGGCCTAGTTGATAGAGCGCTCAGCTTCCTGAATGGATGTGCCCGCGTTAGAGTTTCCCCTCCCCCTAGTTTGCCGGGAAAAAAAAAATCTTGACATATCATTGAACACAATTCCATAAAACCACATGATCTTTAAACACAATATTGAATAACCCTCTTTGAACACAATGCTGTAAAACCCAGGGAGTAAGTGCCCGATTAGTGTTAACAGTTTTTTGTTGGACCACTTTTTACAAGTAGCTTGGTATCCTCATAAGCTCTGAGATTGCAGCATCTGGAAGTTTGGTTTCTACATTTCCTCTTCTAAGTTTACAACTACCAAAAAGGGTCAAAAAGACGGGCTGTTTAAAATTCAGTAACAGAGAAGAACTCATAATCATTTTTCAATTGATCACTTGGATCGTACCGGGATTTTATGTGAAGGGTACAAGATTTATAAGGTGGTGTGAGAAGAAACTTGAACGTACAAGTAAAAAATATGATGGAAAGAACTTATTTGATACTAACAGCTAAAATTCAGAACGCAGGGGCCAAAATCACTTCACAAATTATTATAGCAGTCAACATTGCTATTGTTATATACAGTACATACTGGGACGACAAGGAGAGGAGAGGCAGTAAACAGAACTACCTCCCCTTATAGGAGGTGAGGTTGCTGGCAATCGGTGTCTTCTCCTCTTTGAACGGTTGGGTTGATGCATCTGATAGACTGGGTATCCTCGTAACGCTGCCCTTTCCTTTCTTTGCATTTGGTCCCAGCTCCTCTATCATGTATTTCCAACCATCAATAGGCCGCCTCCGGCTAAAAATGTGTGTCTTGATAAAACTTGCTATCTGCATCTCAGTTGATAAAATATAAGAAAGAAGACCAAAGTGCTATGAGTCTATAACATAGGATCTCTCTCTCACTCTCTTGGTGGGGTCTGTGCGTGTGTGTTCGTGGTGGGGGGGAGCCTGAGTGAGTGAGTGAACAAACTAAGAAGATGAAAGAAACAAGATGGTTGAGATATCAGGCAATATTACCAGGACCGTAGACAAAACTCTATGATCAATCCTTAAAAACAAATGTTTCAGACTGTCAATGCATCTATGGAAACTCTGGTCCCTAGATGCACCATAAGTAATCCTTTTAAACCCAGTGAAGAAACATGTAATACAAAATTACAAATATATGTGTGTCTATATAAACACATACTTTCATACAAAAAAATTAAAAAATTAAAAAATAAAAAACCTTGCATATTGGGATATTTCTCTCTTCACAACTTTGATCTAATCAAAATTGTAAATGATTATAGAACTGGAAGCACTGGATTAGACACATATGGCTAACATAAAGCCTATGATTTCTGCTAACTATATCAAAGGCAATGTGAGATCATTCAGGGATGTCAAATACAAGAAGAGTGCTTTATTGACAGCATTATTCTTGGCACTGGATTGGAATTTAAAAGTACCAACGAAGAAAGAAGAGTGTGTGCGCACGTGTTGGCAGTGGCAATGGTTGCATTGACAAACCTGGAATTTGCTGAATGCAATCCGACGCTCAAACTCTTGAAGGAGGATGTCTTCTTCCCTCTGTGACATCTCCCAGACATTCCCATCTTGTTTGGATGTTGCTTCCCAACCATCAGGCTTGTTTTTGAACTCAGAAGAACTTGGGATTTTTGGGTTGTTGAAATCGTTGTTGACAGGGTCAAAAATTCTGCATTATTATGAAATTAAATATGCCTGTTCAACTGATTTATCATGGCTAGTCAGTGATGACAAAACCCAGAAGAGAAACAGGGACAGATCACCACCATAGGGTAGCACAAATATACGTACTCTAATGAACAAGAAAATCATCAATCGGTTACAAACATTATGAGTTAATGAATAATACATATTATTTTATAGTATCATTTTGGTGGATGCTTGGAATGGGTATTCACACAAGTTACCAAGTTCTTTTTACCTCAATAGAACACAACAGACCATTCACGACCCTGAACCTACCAAGAGCTTGAATGATCACAATATCTGAAACACGAGAAATCCATTTAAATTGTCCTTTATTAACTAGCCACTGAGGCTAATCAAGTAGTACACTGACTACAGAGAATTCCTTTATTGGATAAAAATAATAAGAATAAGAATATCTGATTGAAAAGTGAACGAAATTTTGCTTTACCTCTTGAACTTTAATCCTTGGGGCCTCTTTTTAGTTGGGTGATGGGGAAAAATTGTAAATCTTCAGAGAAGATAGCTGATTTTTTGGGTTCCTTAGGACCGGAGGGGCCCATTCTTTTGGCTTCAGCCTTTGTGTAGTTTTTGGACTCTTACCCCTTTTGAAGGCTTTCTAATACATCTTTTACTTATCAAAAAAAAAAAATTCAATCCTTGGGGCTTGAGAGCCAATCAAACTAACCAAAAAGAATAGGCACACTTTGAACAAACTCAGTGGTAGAATCTTGCAAGATTCCATGTTAAATAAATACTATGTTCATCAGAAATCCAAAAATACACACACACACACACATATATATATATCATGGGAGATCCTCTGAAAACAAGAAAACGTTTAGAACCTGACTTCTGATAAGAGAAGAAATACATGCATATATCGATACGGAAAACTGACAATCACTTCCCTCCTCTTATTTCCACATTGTTCTACTTGGTTAAGTTGCACAATGTTATCTTGATGTTAGACGAAGCCCCATTGAAGCGAGTGGCATATAGCTAAATGTGCAGTGTGTTTTCTACCCGAAGTGTTGATGGTTTGGACTACCAGTACAAAAGGGGACACAGATTAAATTTACTAAACCCTATAGTTCATCAACACAAAACAATTCACAATATTTTGAACTGTTATTAAAAAAAAAACACAATTCAGGCATGCTTAAATTTTTTACTTAAACCTCCTAAACAAAACCAAATTAAAGAATTCACATCAAAATAAAAATAGAAAACACAGTAACCATTAATCAAAACAAGAAATCAATGCTATATTGCTATATGTATGTTTGTGTATAGAATGCACGTATGCATATAATTATATATATATATATAAGAGAGAGAGGCATACTCAGAGCAGCTATCAAGAAGTTTGTCGATATCATCTCCACCACCGGAAATCGAATCCCCCAATTTGGCCTCCTCCTGCTTCTCGATCTCTTGCATCCACAGCCCAGAATGAACTCTCTGCTTCGTCAATCTGTAATCTTTTTTCATATTCTCTAAACTATAAAGCGAATTACCATTTCCCTCTTTCTTCACCATTTCTAGCTGCTGTTGCTGCTGCTGTGCCTTGGGACTCTTTCTTCTCTGATCCCAATTGTCCTTCATGTCTTCCACGAAAGCCTTCGTCTCCGGATCGACGTCCGATGGGAGAACCATATCGGAGTGTTCACCGGGCGTCGAGAAGTTGACATCGGCCTCCCAAGGAGCTCGGTTCTTCGCCGAGAGGTCTTCCGGCAGCCAAGCCGTCTCCCAAGCGTCGTTCCACTCGTCTCCGCCGTTCTTGGTTGTCCGATTGGTGGTGGGTTTGGTACAGAGTGTTCTGAGGTGGGTGGGGAAACTGAAAACGGGTCTTCTGATTACAGAAGAGAGTCTATGAATTGGATTCATCATTATATATAAACACATATATATGTATACATGCTATGCATATACGTGCGTTTGTGTGTGTTTGTATATAATGTCAAGAAGAAAGTAAAGCTTCTTCTTCTTTTGAGGTCTTGGGGATTGAGAAGAAGAGGAGATCTTAAACCCTACTGAAGCTAAGAGAGAGTGTGTGTCGATTGACAGGGAAATGTACCCGTTGGGCCCAAAAGGCTCGGTTTTGTTTAAGGCCAGACTTGGGCTTTATTCTTTCTATGACGAGCCAGGCTCGGTTTGGACCAGCTGCATCATTACTATTTACAACATTATATAAAAAAAATCAATTTTTTTTTTTTTTTTTTTTTTTTTTGGTTATGAAATTTATTGGAATATCATTATATTAATTTTGTTAGTTGATTATCTATGTGATCAACCAATTATATCTTATCACACAAGTAAAAGTGTTTTACTTTAGTGAGTCTGATCAATCAATTATATCTCGTCACATAAGTAAAAATGTTTTACTTTAGTGAATTCAATCATTACGTGTCAATATTTAATTAATTGGTGTTAACATGTCCTCAATACAATATGAGTAAAAACTTTACCTTATGAAGAAAAAAAAAAATACAATCGAAGTAATAAAGTATTTTTCGTCGGTTAAGGTTCCTTATGATGAACCATAAATTTGGAAGTCCCAAGTTCAACAAAGTGCAAAAACTATCTCATTTAAATGATATGTATAGTTTGTATATGATTCACGAATTTATGAAGCAAAGTTCTACATTTTCTTTTCATTTGGCGAAGGACATTTGTGTGCATCCTTTGCTACGAGAAATACTTTTTAAGTGTTGGGATCTGGTGCATAACAACACTAGTGTTGTACTCCAACAGAGTATCCGAGCTTTGCCAATAAACCCTAAAGCGGTAGGTGGTGTCAACGGCTAAAAAAAAAGTTGACAGACTACCCTAATATACAGTACTTCCACCAATGCAAAATTATAAAAGGTTCAGATATACGCAATCTTGATCTTCTTAAAAAACAAAAACACTTCATTCCATGATGTATTATCCTAGTCAACTGAGGTGTCATTTCCAACCAACTGTTCCTTGGAAAGCATGACTAGAAAAAGAATATAAGATAAAAATAAACACCTCAATTTCTTTACTTTTTCTCTCATATTCTGATTCTCTTGTTTTTTTTTTTTTTTTTTTCTTTTTCTGAATGCCTTGACCCACTGTAGTTCCTATACAAATCTCATTTCTGGTTGCAGCCTTCAGCAGTTCTTCATTGAGACACAGAAGAGATACCATTACTTCCTTTCCTTTTTCTTTAGCCCAGAATCCATGTGACAGCTTATAGATTTGTCCTCGTCCCATTTTCGCTGAACAAACATACAGAATCACCATGACAATATTGATGATATATGACAAGGAAAAGTAGTGTTCTGCAGAACAAAAGAACAGAATTTCATTACATGTTTCAGAATAAATGAAGATTCCAAAGAGGTAATTCTCCTCTAGAACGAGTGAACCGCGCTCTGAAAACATCCAAATATAAATACATTCAGAATAATTGTCAAAACCTGCACCATCCGAAATGAAAGAGAGCCACCAATGCAGACCTTCCTGGCTATAGAGTTCCCTCCAGACTAGTTCAATCTGTGTTCCTTTAAACCTAGAATTCTGGGTCCAAAATTAAATTACAACATTCAGGCCACCTACAAATGTGGCAATTTTGCTCTAGCATTTGGTAGAGAAAAGTCAAAAAGGGTCAGCCCCGAAAGAGAAAACAAATATGAAGTGGGTGGCCGTGTAAAACAATCTCAAATTGGGAACCTGTCTTGCTTCAATTTCCTTGAAGTCTAAGCGTAACAGCTCTCTTGTGTGCTTCGAGCCCTTCAACTTCAGCCATGGTTACAACATAAGGACCAAGCTTCCTCAGGCCTTCCTCCGTCAATGACTGCACAGTAATGTACTTCAGGAAGGAGTCCAGAGACACCCCACCGTACATCCGTGCATAACCATAAGTTGGAAGGACATGGTTTGTCCCACTTGCATAATCTCCTACACTCTCCGGAGTCCACTGCCCTAAAAATACTGAACCTGCAGGAGGCATCAAAACAATTCACTGTATCATTCTTTATTGCAGAGTAAGAATAAAAATATTGCCAACTGATAAAATGAACAAGGAAATTGCATTCAGATACTTAAATGGGACTTCAAACAGCTCGGCCAAAAGAAAACCTTATGCTCCACAAGGTCAAGGATTTGAAATGAATGGATTTATTTTTCAATCATTCAAAAGATTATGTTAGAAACTGTATATTGTGTTGGCATATTTCGTATCCAAAACCAATATATCGAGTTGTAATTTTGCTCAAGTCTTGAGTTGGATGATTGGAGTGTCGAGTGGTTTGATCCTCAAAGACATCATGCTTGAAGTACACCGATATGCACGCACACATTAGATCATGTATGATGTGTAAGGTGCGTGCATTTGACGTTTTATAAAGTCTTTCTTAAAAGTATAGAAGTTGCTTAAGTGGACTTTGTTCAAATTTGGACAGTTTAACAACGAAACTCGCTCAAGGAGAAAAAAAAAAATTTGAAGATTCCACCACTGTTTAACAATGAAACTCGCTCAAAGCCCTTTGAGCGCCTTCTAATCTTATTTATTAAAAAAATTAAATTAAATTAAAAATTAAAAAGATTCCACCACTGTTTAACAATTATACTCAATGCAAATGTTAACACAGCTTTAGAGGAAATAAGAAGACAATAGAAAAACAATCACTGCACCTGCATTCTCGATGAAATTCTCCCATTTTTCTGCATCTTTAACATTAATGATCAGATGCTCGGGTGCATATAAATTTGAAAACGACACTGCCTGAAAATCGCAATAAGGCAATAATCAAGTTTAGTTACAAGAGGCAACGAGGCATCACTTCTTGAATAAAAGATTAAACATTAAAGATAAAGAAGCAGAAGTGCAACGAAAACAAGAGAACAAGAAGTGGTTAATCACTTGCTTTAAATACAACCAGTCAGGGGTTCAAACGCCACCCACAACATTACATTACAAGTAAAACTCTCAGCATTGGGCTGGCCTGGTTTGGGATAAAATCGGGCCGGTCCGAAAAGAAGTGCCCGTTTAACAAGCGAATCGGACCAGTTTGCTTGCAAATTTCAGTCTCACCAAAATACCGGTGAGACTCGGTAACAGAGCCTTGGAATTCCATTGTGAACCGGCTGCAAACATTGGTCACTAGTTATAGGGGGACAATGCTGCCTGTGCTACCCACAAGGGAAATAAAAATCAATCAAAATAACGGAACAGAACAAGTAACTATTTCTCTTAAGTATATCAACAGAAGTACAACCAAATGTGTTTGGTTTTCAAAGTCATAGACTAAGTTCTGATAAATGAACACTAAAACAGATACTACTGAAATGAAATTTAATAGAGAAGGCGTCAATAGTGAACAACAATTCCAGAAAAACAATATATATCTTCAGAGATCAGACATAACCCAAAAGATGTTTGGGCCTAAGAGACAAAGATCCATGAAAGTTTTGCAGAACCCTCCCGCTTCCTTTTCATTCTTTAGTTAAAAGGAATTGCCAACCTCAAAATATTCAATCATTTCTAAGTTGCTGAATAAAAATGCAATGTGCATTGCCCTTACTAATGACCATTTTTTTTGTGTGTTTTAATACATAAATGGAATTATAAGCATGCATATAAAAACATTTCACACCAGCAAGTAGGAGATACAATGACCAAAGCAAGAATAAGATGACTAACCTCAAGCATATCACGAGCAAACACAGTGAAGCTGTGGCTGAGTGCTTTTGAAGCAAACTCTCCCCTTGGTAGGCTTTTACATTGCTTGCTGATTTCATCCTCAATAGCCATTAGATCCACACCATCCCCGACAATTACAAGAACAACTTGACTATCAGGACCATGCTCAGCCTAAAAATATTAATTAGTTATTTCAGAGATCAGGCAGAATGGTAGCAGAGAACCACAATTGTTTTTTATGCATGCGCATTGTAGGAGAGTGCCTAACTGAATATAAAGTATAAATATAGTATAAGAAACTAATCTCATGATCCAATCACATGAAAAATAAATGCGGTATGGAAATGTGGTACAAAGTGACTATTATAGAAACCACGGCTGCTAGAGGAGTATACATAGATCTACATTGTTGAGCTCGGTAAACAGGTCATAAACAAATGCCATGCCTGCATGCTTCAATTGGATAATATCACAAAATGTAAAAGTACATTAATAAAAAAACCATTTGTGACAAGCAGTTTCCAAGTTAATCTTTTACTGCTTTGTTTTTGTCAGTTCTCTAAATTCATAATGGTGTAAGTTGGCTCCACAAGGAAGTTCTGTTTTTTTTTTTTCCCCTAAATAAAAAAATTCTACTTAAGAATTTTCACTCTTTTTTTATTCTTCTCAACTGAGACAATTATTGTTGTAGCTCATTAGTTATTGTGACTTGTGGATTTTTTATTCCTAGGTTGATTAAAAAGAATAACATTAGTTCTATAATATGTGTCAATATGAAAGGAAAAAAAAAAAAAAAAAAAGCATATTTGTTATTTGCTGTGTCCATGTCTAATTTATTAGGATTTGTCATGTACGTGTCCCGTATTCATATTCATGCTTCTTAGATAGAAATTGTAATCTATGATAATGTGGTATGTTTGGCCCATACAAATTGATCATGGGAATTGTTGTACCCCGTCTGATATATCGATGGGGTTAAGTTTGATCTACTAGAATTCCTCATGGAATTTGTTTGAACCTTATCCGACATATGGATAAGGCATATGTGCACCCTTAGGCAATTCATAGTTCTGTCAATCTAAACTTATTAAGGGATAAGTTTGTCCCAATTGAATTATTCTTAGGATTTTGAGACAATTTTTAAGAATGTGCATTGAACTATCGAAAAGAATACGAGAACTTTTACAAAGCTGTAAAAGTTCATGAATTTATTGAACTATATATGACCTTTCATAGACTATAAAATTCTTTTTAGTTCATCACATTCATACAATCAGTTTTGAAATGTCATATTTGGGTTATACCATCACTGTTCAGAAAGGCAACCTAATTTTTTCCTCCAAAGTATTCTTAGTAAAGAATGGCAGTATTATCAAGATGCAAACAAAGAAGTTCTACGCGAAGTAAGTTAACTAACTGAGAAAAGATAACCAAATCTTGCATGTTCAGTACTTCAAAATCAAGTCAATTATTTCTTTATTTCTTCAACTCAAGTGTGTCCAGCATCTAAAAGAACTTTGGATAGTCTCTACAGACACGATGATAGTTTCACATAAATTAAAATAAAAATAATTATCATTCAGATATAAATCCATTTAAACTACCAAAATCCAATCTGGTTTAGACAGATTTATTTATTTTTATATGAAAAGGAAAACTTCTCCACATAGACTTGAAAAAAGAAGACTTCGACTTCAATCAAAGTTACACCTCCCACAAAATTGGTAACAGCCTGTTCAGTTTAGATAAACTTCCAAAAATAAATAGCCTTGTCAAAACACATGTAAACTATAACTTCATCAAGCAGGAATAACTGGCTACAGTTTTATGGCATATAGCAAAAGAGTAATGGTAGAGAGTCCGACAGTCAAACAAATCTGACTAATTTTATGTGAGTAGAGGCTGATGTCATCATGACATCACTGATATTAATGAGAATAATGGCATCATGATGATGTCAGCCTCCACTCACATAAATCAATCAGAGTTGTCCTACTTTCAGACTCCAAATCATTATCCCTAGCAAAAAGATGCAGCTTATGTTTCTAACTGCATTTTAGATATCAATCATGTCATAGAAGCAGAAAATTTGGATCCGCTGCTTCAATTATAAAAATTATCCATCGAATACTAAATCAAGCATTTCAAAATTCAAATAGTATTAAACACCTGGGAAAGCAAATCTGCGGCTATATAAATAGGATTGGCATGTTTGTCAGCAATAACCAGAACTTCTGATGGTCCCGCAGGCATGTCAATGGAAACCATAGCCTCACTGTTCTGTTGAGAAAATTCAAAGAGAATTAACTGACCAAAATATAGAAACACAGTTATACACAAAGTATGACAATGTCAAAGACCAAATAGATGAAAATATATGCATACTTGGAGAATCATTTTAGCAGCTGTGACATATTGATTTCCAGGCCCAAATATCTTCTCGACCTGCAAATTATTAAAATATCACAATATCACTTGTAACAGAAAGTTATAAATATATAAACTTGTAACACCAGAGGAACCAAATACCTTACTAGTAAATGAAAAAAACTATTATCCCTTTGACCCACTATAAAATTACCATTTATACCATCTGAAAAACTTAAAAAACTTCAATGTTGATATGTATGCCATGAGCCTCAGAGCATGCAAGTTTACCAAGAAATTCAAGGTGATTAGTAACGCTACAAAAGAAGAGCGCACACACTTCCCTATCAAGACAATGTGGTCATTGTATAATAGGAGTACACCTTCGTGGGGTTTCTCAAACTTCAATTATATGCAAAAGGCATACATATATATTCACACACACCATTCATTGTCCATGCAGGAATTTCTAATGACTAATGAGTACATAGAATAACCTAAAAAAAAAAAAGAAGCTTAGGACATATTTTTGATAACCTTAGAAGCTTAGGACTTTAATTAGATTAAAGTCAATTCCTACATGTTTCAATTTTTTAAAAATAATATGTACACCCTTAATAGAAGGATATCAATATATCAACAGCTACCATATCCGACTCTTGTAAATATAAGCATGTCTATGTTAATTAATGAAAAAGTAATACCGAATGTTGGTCACACCAATATCGGTGTCACGATGAATGGTCTCAGAGCCGACATAGCGGCAATAGGCTCAAATTCGGCAGCCAGAGCTTTAACCATGCACCAAAGAAAGACCCCTAAAGCTTCTTTACATTGATAACATACACTTATATATGATTCCATCCTTTTTTACCCTGATTTTGGGGAAAATGATTATGCATTCTCCAGTTTGACATATTAGAAAGTTGAAACTTCTGTCAATATGTAGAAATCTAAACATGCCGACACTGAAGGACACTGGAGGAGGAGGAAGAGGACATCATGAATTTGTTTTTAACTGCAGAATATGTATTCCAAAGGTTGATGTAGCGAGCTGAATTTTCATTAACAAATATTAGAAAACCGCTACCCATAAGCTGTAATGATTTTTCATAAGATTTTAGGAATATCCTAACACTTTTAAAACTACTCCAAGGGCCACTAAAATGTCCGGCAAAAAGAAAATAAATTAAAGTGACCAATTGAAAAGAAAAAAAATTACTTTTAAAATAGAAGTACAATCACAAAAATATCCTAATTAGAACTTAAATGACTGACCAACAAAGAAAACAAAAAACAATAGAAGGAAAAAAAAAAAAAAAAACACAAACTGACAATTCATGATGCAGAGAGGCCAAGTGCTAGCATGTGGGAAGCTGACCCTAGTAGTGAAACTTCTCAGGTTAATCTTCTTAAGGTGTTAAGTTCTCATAAAAAGACCCCTACATCTCTAAATTTATCCCTCCAAGGGAAGAAAAAACTATTCAAGTTAAGGATTTTCATATAATGGATATGCTTGAACAATTATTTCTATCATTTCTTTCTATGTTACTCGATGCAATTCTTTACGCTACATATTAAACTTAATTCCCTTGTGAAAAGTCTTGCACAATGAATTCTGTTCCATAACTTGTTCCTCTTTAGTTAAGTATATCAGCTTTTGCTTCTGAGTTCAAAATTGATAGGAGGAGATTTAGAAGGAAATGAAGACAAATATTTTTCCCATAAAACTTGACGACAAATAAAGTCAAGGTTTTATGAGGAAAATAAATGAGGCTAAAGACAATGGCTCAAGCATGAATACAATAACTGTGTGATGATTATTGATGATTCCAACCCACTCTGCGTCTTGTTAGTGCATACCTCATCAAGGTTATAACTTAAAACGGGAGACCAATATGAGGAAGTCCAACTACTAGTAGCAGACACTTGAGTGCATTGTATTATCAGTGAAAAGCTTTCCATATTCAAACTCACACCTGCTTTCAATATCATACCCCTAAGTGACCATACAAGAATGAATTCCGGTTATGTTAGTGCAACAGTGATAGTTGAGACTTGAGAGAGACTGGCAGTGAAGATGAATATTTCTCCCATAAAACTTGATGACAAATAAACTCAAGTTTTTATGAGGAAAAGAAATGAGGCTCTAAAGACAATGGCTCAAGCATGAATACAGTAACTGTATGATGATTATTGATGATTTCAACCCACCCTGCGTCTTGTTAGTGCATACCTCATCAAGGTTATAGATTGAAAGGGAAGACCAATATGAGGAAGTCCAACTACTAGAAGCAGACGCTTGAATGCATTGTATTATCAGTGAAAAGCTTTCCATATTCAAACTCACACCTGCTTTCAATCTCATACCCCCAAGTGACCATAAAAGAATGAATTCCAGTTATGTTAGAGCAACAGTAATATTTGAGAGAGTCTGGAAGTGAGTACCTTTGGGCATGATGCAGTCCCCCAAGCCATGGCAGAAATGGCCTGCAAAAGTTATAAAAATATCCGAAAACTTAACAAGTATAATTAAAACTTGAACATAAGACCACACATGTGAAAGGCATGTTGCATATACGCAAAATAGGTGGACCAAAATTTTATAATTTACAACCTGAGCTCCTCCAGCTTTTAGAATGTGTGTCACACCAGCTTTCTTAGCACAATAAAGTACCTCCTAAATAAAAGCACTTCTATTAGCTTTTGACAAGTAATATCATAATAAGATTCCTCATCAAGGTGAAATTAAATACCTTGCAGATGCTTCCATCCTGAGCAGGGGGGGTTGCAACAATAACAGTTTTACACCCAGCAATCTGTGCAGGCTGGTGTACAGAATAAAATAAATGTCAATTAAATCTGATAACTGAGAGATCAGCAATCAATAAAAAGATCATAATTTGATGAACAAGCAAAAGCAATTTATGCAGTAAACTCAATTAACATACAACTGAGAGCATCAGAGCCGTCGAAGGTAAAACTGCAGTTCCCCCAGGAACATAAAGACCAACAGAGGTAATGCTCCTTGCCACTCGTTTGCATTTAACACCCTGGCAGGAATACAACCAAAATGAGTTACAAGCTTCAACAACAAAAGAATGATTCAATTTTATATTGCTTACTTTCATGTTTTCAACAGTTCTCTCAACCGATCTTTGCGCAGCATGAAATGCGTAGATGTTATTGTACGCTACATCAAATGCTTCTCTAACAGCTGCATCAAGCTAATTTTAAGAAGCAGATGAGAAAATGTCTAGTATCAGAAGTAGCAAACTGCACTCATTGAAGCCACAAATTGAAAATCCGTCTTTATTCTCCAAACCAATGTAAATGACATACAATCCACACTCAAATCACATCTAAAAGGAAATTCCAAAATTATAAAAACTGAATACCTTTGGATCTGGAAGTTCACTGACATTTTCAACTATCGTGTCTAGTTCAACTTTGTCAAATCGTGCAGTATAACTGCCAAAGAAATATCAATGACATCTCAGAGGAAAACTCGCTATTAGAGGAGCTTAGAGTTGAAACACATAATCAAAAGTCCAAAATACTAGTTTAATAAAAAGGAAAGCATGATAAAATATTACAGAATGAAAAACAAAGAAGCGCCTACTCTTTAACAGCAGCGTCTCCTCTACTCCGGACATCTTCAACAATTGGGTGAACCTGATGCAGCATGACACAAAGCCACCAAATGCTTATAAGAGAGAGATAGAGAGGAGGAGGGGGACACATTTTTGCTTTGGGGAATTACATAAAGGCTTACCGTACTGAAAATGGAAGAGAAATCAATACGAGGACGAGCCTTGAGGCTATTGACCTCAACCTGACTAAGCTCTGATAACCTATAGGACTTCATTGAGCATCTTATAGCATTATGAAGAGATCCTACAACAACAGTCAACTACAATATAAGAACAAAAGCATTATAAGCAATATATTACATTATTTTTCACATCCAAACCAATTAGAGGTCAAGATTAGTGAAGCAGTATAGACTATAGAGGCATATATGTTATTCCTCAAATCCAAACCATATAGTCAAAAACTAGACAAGCATTGTAGCTTGAGCAAGATTCTTCATATATAAGACACAATTATGAAAAATCATGTCAAATGACTAGCTTCTTTCAGTTTGTCCACCTACTGCAACCCTTCTTCTCAAGGAATGCTATTGCTAATTTATAAAAATGATGGTACAGCGGGATATCGTTGATTAAAAGGAAAATTTATGATAAAAATAGAGGAAGGAATGATGGATCCTTTATGGCATGGAATGCTAATTAATAAAAATCAACATATCCAAAAAATTGAATAGCAAAATATTATAACAACAATTGGATAACTCATAAGCCACAAGACAAATAATATGCGTAATAAAGCACAATTAAATGTTTGACTCATGTAAGTAAACAAGATATTTTAAGGTTGACTAGACTGACAGCAGCGCTAAGAGATAATGTTGCATTGTTGAATGACCCATCAAACTGATTGAACTAACACATGCCACTGCTGGGGTAATTTATGGATAGATCAACATCCATAATTTTCTCCAATTTTATTTTGTTGCATTTTCACACCTCACTTTAAAATCTTGGGGCATTAACCAAAAAATATATTGAATATTTTTTATGGAGCTCAGTGAGATTTTGTGTGTCGTATACGAAAGTCATATGAACTGAACCCTATCATAACTTGAGGTCATCTTTCTTCCATCCTTATTCTTAATACAAGAAATTTTTAAATTATAAATTTAAGAGTAGATTTGATCATTTAAACCTAAATGTAAGGCGTAGAAACAAAAATGTCGTGGACCAGGAACCAGAAGCATTTAGCCTCTCAACCAAGACGTACCTTCTCCAAAATGACACTCAAATTTGTGAAAAATATATACTACTGATGCATGAGGTTTTCTGAAGACTGGTAATCTTAAATCATAACTGCAATAAAAACAAAAATAAAACAAAAAATCTCTTTGACACCCCATTACCATACATTTGCTATAATTCTTCACGAAACATTAACTGTTTTTCAAATTTCACTACTAAAGTGCACAAGTGATATACCTGCTCGCAAATAATTAGAACCACGATATATATATTTTTGGGCACCAAATATTCGAAAATGACAAGTCTGGTAGGATTTACATAAGCACTTGCTCCAGTTAAAAGAAAGAAGTTGACAGTCCATCACCACCTTCAATTAAATCAACAAGAATGTAAACAAAAATAATTCTTAATCTATAATCGATAAGTCCAGGCAAATATATTTGAGGCATAGAAAATCTACAAGTATAGCATGTAGAAGAAACTACAATTGATTGTTCCAAAAAAGAATTTGATATCATGGAATTTGGCAATCCAATCCATGAACTGCTGTTGATGGAACTAGTTCTTGATTTCAATACATTTTTAGTAAGTCTTATCATTTTAGTAAATCTATGCAAGAAAAGATCCATGAAATATCTTTTTCTAATGAAATAGATTGAAGTATAGAATAAAAATAAAAATAAAAAAACAGATACAAAAATAAATAATAAAGGAAAGGAAAGGAAACAATAAAGGAAGAATTCTAGACAAATTTCAGTAGAAATTGAAACCACATATTCTGAGATAAAGTGGAATAAAATAGAAGTAAAAGAGAAGATGGAGGAGGAGGAGTAAAAAGGAAGGAAAGAAAGAGAAAAAGCAAGGTAATTGAATATTATAATTTGGCACATACACTTAAACACTCCCATAAAGAATGAATAGGTCCTTGGTGTTTCCCATATCAGCGTAAGGTACAATAAGAATGATGTAAGAAATTGAAAATTGATCCCCCCGCTGATTCACAAAAAACTAATTGAATACCATCACAATGACCTAATTTTGGACAATGCATTTGTAATTTCAAATGCCATGTGTGAGACAAACTTAATAGAATGTTAGGTGTTGTTTCAAAAAGCTACACAGAAAATAAAATTATCCAATTAAATAATTTGTTCATAGCCCGTCCTAAGAAAACTTGCACTTACTAGTGTGAAACAAGTAGACTATAGACAAAGAAGTCCCGTAACAAATCCTAATGGAGTTAAAAACCAGCGAACTCTAAGTCAAACAATTCACCTGAAAGTGAATCAGCATTCTTGAATCTGCTACTTAGAATTTTGAATTCGAAAATTTATCACATTCTACTTCTTCCCATTAGATATATCAATTTTAAACTAGGTCAATAGAACTTACGTCGGTAAATTTCGTACAAAGTAGAGTTTGTATGTTTATCCTAAATGTTGTTTATGTTTTAAAAGTTAGATTAGTTAAGTTACCACTGTTCAAGGGCAAATCAGAAAATTCAAAACTTCAAGAAAGGCACAAAATGGTTCAACTCTGAAATTATACATTCACCAAAATAAGGGTCCATATGCATTCATCTACTTCATTAAACATGTTAGGGTTTTGGAATGACATGTTTTGATCCATGAAAATACGTTTTAGAATACATAAACTGTTTTGGAAACTCAAATCCTAATTGAACAAGGACAGGAGTGTTTGATCCATCGAAAAATGAACCGAAACCCAATAGACTAGGTCTGCTCAATTGAACTCAAGTCTTGATCGATCAAAACCTGTGGGAAGGCAATTTCCAAATATAACTCAAAACTCTTTTAAACCTAATCCTTCCATATCTAAACATAAAATACAGAAAATCTATCCCAAGCATATATAAACAAACATTGAGCACCAAAAGCACTATGACAAAAATGAAGGTGCATATTAGCAATTTAATTGCTAGAGTTTTCTTATTTTTTGTTCATCATTATATGCTAAGATAGTAAGTGATATTGAGTGTAGATCAACCGATTTCAAAGAGCTCTAAAGGATTAGATGTAACTAGTCAGAGAGATCAAAGTGCTAAAAAAGGAGTGGATTGCATGAGTGGATCTATTGACTAGCATCAACAAAGATCAGAGTGAATCGTCCAACTTGAGTCTAGGTCACAAGCAACTAGGAATTCTTGGATTAGAGTCTGGTTAAACTAGTAGTAAATAGTCCTTCATACTAGATTTTATATGTTTGTATTAGGTCCCATGGTTTATCTCCTACAGGGTTTTCCACGACTCCATGTGAAATTCACGACTGAATGCTTTTTTATATTCAATGGAGAACCCAAAGAACTTGTTTTGTATTTATTCACAAGATATGGACCCTTTCAAGTAAATTTTTCTATGATAGATTGAGCACAAAAATGTTTCATAATGTTAGAGGGTACATAAGAATGACCTACTCTAAACATATTCAAACAATACAACCTCGAGATAATGGGGTAGATTTCAATGAATCAATAAAAGCTTCCAAAAGGTGTCAGCATTTGCATTTTGCAAGGTGATTAGAGCTGTCCTCCAAAAATAACTAAAAATGCTACATTAAAACTAATATCAAGTCTAACGGCGTATTGCTTAATGATCTCGAAGCAACATTATAAGATTTCCAAATTCAGGGTACATATCATATAGAATAAACATCAATGTAAAGCAAAAGGACCAAAAAACCTACATGAGAAACGTCTTTCATCCTCTAATGTTGACATACAATTAAAGCTAGGTACCAATAGTTGTAGTTGGAGTTTGACAAAGATACTGAATTTTAAGTAGATGAGGTGTCTCGACAGTCGTTAGAAAGATAAACCTCAAAAAAACCAAGACCATACTCTAAGATCACTTGAATTTGACATACAATTAAAGTAATTCAAACTCACATGCACCAAAAGAACACATTATGTTTTGTTCCTTTGATTTTAGAACAGCAACAGTAAACAAAGCCCATGTCATAAATTCTCTGAAAATTTGTATTGTTTAATATTAGAAAGCCAAATAAGCAAACTTACAAGTTCAAAAATCACCCATTTGAAAACATCATTGAAAAATATAAACAGAATTTTCAATTTTGATAGAGAAGATCCATTACACGTATCCAATTCATACCCCCAAAATCTCAACAGTCTAAGACAATCTAAATCACCTCCAATTTATAGAATAGACAATACCCATAAATTAAAATTAAAATTAAAAATCCCCTAAATGAATAAGTCTATTTGTATTCTATTTGTGCAACTCTTAAAAACAGTTAAATGCTCTTTTCTAAGTCATATGTCCCTGCAAATTCTAAGAGTGTTTTCTTGTGCTCATTTATCTCCCCAAAACCATGCCCCTATGAATTTGTTGGTACCCATTCGCATTCCCTACATGACCATTGAAATCGCCTCCTATAAATTCTAAGAATGGAGGTATAATGTTTGGATTTTGAAGAACTTAAGGAATATGAAGGTCTAAAGAATGGGTGAGAGAGAGACGTACCTGAATATAGCGAGCAGAAGCTGAGAGGTCTTCTTGGTGGCGTCTTCCTCAGCTAGGGCACCGAACGGCTCACTTCCACTGAATAAAACTCAATTTCAGATTCTCTCTCTCTCTCTCCCTCTATATATATATATATATATATTGTATCTCACTTTCAGATTGCAAATGTGCAGAACGATCACCGGAAAAAGTCAAAAACCGACGCCAATTTTATATTAATATACCGTATTTTTTCATAAAGACCAAACTTTACTTGTAATTCCACTTTGACCCCTAGTAAATCTATTATTCGACATTGTAAGTCTTTAAACCTAGCTATACATACACGTAACAACATACACAATATGAGTTTTGATCCTCTATTGTGCATTCGACAATACATTGAAATCACTCCTAAGAGAGAATGAATCTCATATAGGAGAAATATTTTAATACTTCAAGGATATTGGGTGACATAGTATGATTGACTAACTAAATACTGACACGTAGTGATAGGATTCATTAAAGTAAATGCATTTTTACTTTTGTGACAAGATATAATTGATTGATGACATCAATGACATGTGTGGAGGGAAAAATTTATATCAATTAGAAAGTGACGCTAGGGCCAAAAAACCATATTCATAACAAAACACGTGTCCTCATTAAGGATGCATGAAGAAGAATAAAGAATTAGGCTAACAGAAAATACTGATCCATACTGATGGGCTGGCCATGTGAATAGATGAAAGAAAAGGTCAGATGTTGATTCAAACTACTCTTTTTTGTGGATTCAAGGTAATCTCGTTCCTTGTGAACGAATTTATCGCTTTTCGCTACGTCAAAACCCAAAGATGCATGAATACATTAACAATACTCTACATCATGCTAGAATCATTCGATCTATACAAGCCTAACATGTACGAAAATATGGGAACTTTACCTGGTTGATAAGGTTTTCACCTTCATGCTCACTGTCGCAACAATTTCATACTGACGCTCACGATGCCAGATTCAAAGATCTTTTTAGATCTCACTCATTCTCATAAATCAATGAGAGGAGTTAAGGTTAGTGGTGATTTGGTAGTGTTTTAGGTGCGGAGAGAGAGAAAATAAACTGATTGTAAAAGGTAATCAGAAACAACTTAGCATCTTTAGAGTTAGGAGGGTATAATGGTAAAATGACTTTTCGTTGATGACATCACCATATAGGCAAGTCTTTCAAAAGTTTTTGGGTAAACTACACTCACAACCCTTAAGGTTAGGTCATATGTCAACTAAATGAAGATTTTGATTTTAAATTTCACTTATATTTGAATTAGTGGTTTAACATTTCACTTACACCCCAAATGTCAATTTTTGGTTGGGTGAGAGTATTTTTGAAGTGTTAAATGACTATACTACCCTTTGACCAGGTGTTGACTATTTTTGTAACCAATCTACCCCCAACATACAAAGCAATATCCACGTCAGCCAAATGCTTTACACATAAGCCATCTTCTCTCTCTTCCAATCTCTCTCTCTGCACAGACCCATCCGGTGTTACCAATCACCCTTTGTCACCATCGACGTTATGATCGGCACCATTTTCTTCACCTCAACCTAGCAAACCAGAGACAATAACCACAAACCCAAGAAAACCCACATCAACAATAACAACCCAGACTCCCTAGCTCGCATCCTAACCAGCGTCACCTACAGACCCAACCCATCAACCAAACTTCTTCATCCTTACCGGCGTTACCTGCAGACCTAACCCATCAACCAAACTCCGGCCACAACACCTGTCCATCAACAAATCCAAAGAACCCAACCTATCAACCAACCCATCAACCAAACTACAGATCCAAAGAAGCCAACCCATTAACCAAATTCTTCATCGTTACCGGCGTCACCTACGAACCCAACCCATCAACCAAACTCCGGCCACAACACCTGTCCCGCCACCAAGCAGATCCTCAACACCGTCGACTTCATCCCCAACCTCACCCTCTGCCGTCTCATCCACCTTTGATCCGATCAGCCACCGGAATCTAACCTTTCCTCCCTCCAAACTACCTCCTCCAATCTCAATGCAAAAAGTAGTTCAATCGATCAAAAAAATCAACAACTATGCCGATGATTGCTTGATTTCTCTCCGCAAAATCGTTGACTTCGCTAAGTCCTCTGACGGCTCACCGAGCAGTAACCCGTCAGCTCTTTGTCCATAGCTGGTAAGTTCATTATTGCCGGAAAATTAGCCCAAACATGGAAAATTAGCCCCAACTCACCGGCGTCTTCCAAGTTCATTATCATCGCCGGTGGTTTCTTTATAGCTCTATGTCGCCGCCGCCGCCTCCCTGTCGCCATTCAGATAGTGAGGTAGGGATGTGGTCGGTGTGAAAGTGAGGACATAACATGATAATTTAGAGATAACTCAGATAAGGATGAAATCAAATTAAATGGCTATCAAAATGACTGGCCATCAGTAGTACTGTCCTTTGAATCTCACAAAAATAGATTTAATTATATGTTTTGTATAATTCATTGATTGAATTTTACCAAAATTCCAATCCAAAATGTGGGTGGGTGAAATCGTTGACGAGGAATCTGAAGAGGATTGACCTGCAGGGAGAGGAAAGAGAAGGTGCTGATGTGTGTGTTTGAACGGTTAGGATTGCTAGGGACCATAAATGATGTGGTGGTCTCAGGATTACGTGTACAAACAATATACTGTATACATATACACACAGAGGGGTCTTTTTGTCATTCAAGATTATATATATTTTGTATTAAAAAATTGAGGGTAAAAGTGTCAATTCACAGGCAAAAAATAAATTGGGATGTAAGTGAAAGTTAAAACCAAAATCTTCATTTAGCTGGAATACGACCTAACCTCAAGGGGTGTGAGTGTAATTTACCCAAAAAAAATTTTACTGAGGTAAAATGGTACTTTCATGTATTATGTTAAAATTGACTAACAAGGTTAAGGGTTTAGAATTATTTCGGTAAGAATTCCATCAGCGAAATATTTAGACGAACATGAGGTGAAGGTGAGGATAATTCACTCTATATACTAATATAGTAACTTTTTATTGTATAGTAATTTTTCTTAGTTATAAAAAAGTAGCATTTTACTTATTTGGACTACAAAATCAAGCAAATTAGTACAGCAACTATAAAAAAAAATGTGCATATTTAATTAACATTTTTTTAAAAAAGGCAAAAAAAACTAAATAAAGTAAAATACCCTCAACACCCCTCATGTAATATATCTTTTGTATTCCTAAAATTGCCAAATGTTTTAGTTGAGAGCAATTTGGGTGCTAGGGTCTGCTTTGAGTAACAGTTCTAAGCATCCCTCACTTCTATGATCTTGTTTCTTCTTTCTTTCAGATTATCAAAGAGATGTTGAGTTTGATTGAATGATTTCTTCATTAATTTCATATCTTTGTTTTTCTCTGTGTATGCAATTATATATATGTCTATGTGCCTATGTATATTTGGTGTTGGGATATACTGCTACAGAACTACCTTTAAGGAGATTGAAATGAAATGCTAATTTATTTATTTATTTATACTTAATTAAAGGTATAATCAGTAGGCATTTGGAAAAACATTTTTTGTGTCATGCTCAGAGCAACCATTTTTACTTTGACAAACAAGGAATTCATCATAATATATATATATATATATATAAAGTAAATTTTTTTCCTAAAAAATTTATTGCAAATAAATAGAGAGTTACAAACTTTATTTTAGTTATAAGAAAATACTTGTAATTATTTATCATAAGAGTTTTTCTTTTCACTTTTTTTTTTTTTTTATATTTATATTTATGATCCTTTAAATTCCTAATTATAGAAGTTAAAATAAATTAACACACATAATTATTAAACACATAATTGCACCTAAACATTTTACTTCAGATTGCTTATATGCCTACAAACAATTTATTTAAAGTACTGACCTCAAATTTTTGTTGTGAAATTTTGTTGGAGACTAGCACTATTGGAGAGAGAGATCATGTTGCACATTATAGGTGGAAGAAGAAATGGATTTACTAAAATGAATGGAAAAGTCTCACACGCAAAGGGCTATAACAATCACATCGAAGGGCAATATTGATATTATAAATAAATAATAATAAAAAAAATACAAGTCACGTGCTGCAATTGTTGGCCGGATAGGTGCCGGAAGTGACTGACAGTGACGGGGCAATATGCACGATTTTGATACTTGTAGTACCGACTTGCTGGATTATGTATTTCGGAGAGGTTAAATGCCAATTTTTTTTAGTAGTTGAGGAGGGTTTTATGTTTTTTTGCCTATAATATTTTTTTTTATTATTTATTGCATTTTAAAAAATGAGATTATTAATTTTTTTTTTTGGGAGTACATAATCAAATTGTGGTGGAATGGTTATTGAATTTACATGTTGTTTAAGTTGTTTTGGAGATGGAATAAATCTTTAGGGTTTGCAAGAATTGAAGTGTAAATTCAGATTATGTGACTGATCAAGAATATTTATGAAAGTCAAACATCATGAAAAGAATGCAACACTTGAGCTGCATGTTTGGGGTTCGTTATAATAAAAAATACAAAAAAAAAGTGTCAAAATTGGTTTTCTAATCCTAAATCAATCAAAATAGCGACTACTTAGCGACTATAACTGGCAGACCTCTGATATGGTTTATTGTCTGTCGGAGAATCACAATTGACAGTCCGGGAGAGAATCCCAGTTCCACGCAATACGTGACGGCATGCCAAACGAGCCCTTGGTTTATGGCAAAAGAAGTTGACAAACTTAAATGGGCCGACCATAAGCCCAGTCCACAAACCCCAACGGCCTTCATCCCTCTTGCTCGTTCAGGCCCGTTAGGGTTTTGGGGGTGAAAGAGACATATAAAGGTCTGAAGATTGTTCTCTCATGCGCCTTCCAGTCTTCACAGCAAGCAGCAGATCACGGGCTGAAGACCGAACCATCGAAGCACAACCATGGTGCACGTAAATTTCTACCGGAACTGTAAGCCCTTCTATATTTCCGCGCGCGCACACACACACACACACACACACACATATATATAGTCTGATCCATTCATATTTTCTGGTCAGTTTATCATTTGTTTGAATTCACATTATGGATTTGATTACTGAATACTTATGGGATGCTTTTAGGTTTTCTTGTTTATGGTTTCATTTATGGGTGACCAAGTTCGAAATTTCGAGAATTATCCTCTGTTTGGTTTCTCAGACAAATGTAAATAGAGACAGAAAGAAACTGAACTTTTGAAACATGGATACAAATAGCTGAAAAAAAAACGTAGATTCAGATTTTCGTTTGTGACCCAACAAACTAAAATTCTCACCCTACTGAGCTATAGCGCTGAAGTACTTCTATATTGCTTAGTTGACTCAATATTTTTGTCTATCCTGAGTAGAACAATGTGTCGTTTGAAAAATGTGAGTCTTTTCCCTGTTTGTTTCAAATTTATATATTTTTTTGTGATCTGGGTTTGTTTTGTCAATTGAATTCTTTAGATGGGTTGATTTTCCATTTTGAGCTTGCTAATGAATTATAATTTTCAACTACTGGATGGGTTTTAGATGGGAAAACTTTTAAGAAACCTCGTCGTCCTTACGAGAAGGAACGATTGGATGCTGAACTGAAGCTTGTTGGCGAATACGGCCTCCGGTGCAAGAGGGAACTCTGGAGGGTGCAATATGCTCTGAGCCGCATCCGTAATAATGCAAGAATGCTTCTCACTCTCGATGAGAAGAACCCTCGTCGGATTTTTGAGGGTGAAGCCCTTCTGAGGAGGATGAACAGGTATGGATTGCTGGATGAGAGCCAGAATAAGCTTGATTATGTGTTGGCTCTTACTGTGGAGAACTTCCTTGAGCGCCGCCTTCAAACACTCGTGTTCAAGTCTGGTATGGCGAAGTCTATCCACCATGCCAGAGTGCTCATCAGGCAGAGGCACATCAGGTACATATAAATGTGTCAAACTGTCATTCTATTCTAACTTGATGTGAAAATTAACTAATTTGTAGGATTTTAGTAATTGGTTAATACTTATGCCTTCCGCAATATAATGCATGAAAGGAAATGATTTTACAGTTATGTGAATCATCCTTATATGATTACTTACCTGTATATGTGTGTGTTCTTGGTACTTGTATATATATAATTGTGTATAAAGCTATTCATGTCTTATTTGGACACGAATTTTTCAACAGCTATTCCCTCAGTCTAGCCATGAATGCCCCCTCCTCCTCCTACTATGAGCCAAATGTGGGCCTTACATGAGAAGGATTGCTATACCTTAAAGTTATGGTCTTTTAGCCATGCAATGCTCTGAAAGCTTGTTTAGAAGGTTAAATAGGGCTATTTTAGTATTACGCCAAAATGAAGGGCTAAATTGGCGTTTATGAAGATTCCCTTAACCCCTTTGATGGCCTGTTAATGGAAGGGGAATTTTAAAGGACAACAATACAACATGGAAGGCTGACCACAAAAAATGTAGTAGTTATACCTGGTGTATGGTTTCTCCAAATCTTAGGGGAGGTTGGCATAATTTACCTTTAAGATTTTGTATTCTTTAAATCATCACATCATCCCTGCCTTATTACCATATGAATGGGATTGGTCCCATTAATTGTCTTTCTCCATTCCTTTCTATTACCCACCATATCACCTACTATGTTTGACTTTATAAAATCATTTCTAATAACTTCATTCTATGTTATTTTTGGTCTCGGTATTCATCTCTTACCTTCTATGGAAATTGAACTTTCTCTTTGCACCGGTGCATCTATAGGTCCCCGGTGTATGTGCCCAAACCATCTAATAAGTCTACTCTCTCTTACTTTCTCATTGATGGGTGCCACACCAAAATTTTCTCTTGCACTTTCATTTGTGACCCTATCTCTTTTGGTCACTCCAACAAGTCCAACCATCCATCTTAACATTCTCATTCTCGCTACATTAATACGTTCTTGTTTCTTCTTTTTAAGCCCAATACTCCGCTCCATAAAGCATAGTTAGTCTAATAATGGTCATATAGAGTTTTCCTTTTAACCTGTGTTTTTTTTTTTTTTTTAATCACATAAGATGCTACTAGCTTGTCTCCATTTTGTCCACCCGATCCAATTCTACTAGTTATATCACTATACATCTTCATCCTTTTTGTATTATCGATCCCAAATAGCGAAGGGGTATTTTGAGTCATCTTCAGGTTATCAAGTGTTATCATTATATTATCAGGAATTGAGTCTATGTTAAATTTGCATTCCATATATTTTGCTTTTGTTTGACTAACTCTCAATTCTTTTGATTCTAAAGCATTTCTCCATATTTCTAATTTTAATGCCAAGTGTTCTTTTTAAACTATAAGTATCTACTAACACAATATAATCGGCAAACATCATGCACTATGGCATGTATTCTTGGAGTTCTTTTGTTATTTCATCTATAAAATTATTGCAAATAAGAATGAGCTTAACACTGATCCTTAGTTCAATCCTACATCTATAGAGAACTCACTAGTTTCATCACACATAGTACAAACTTTAGTTTTTGTGTTCCTATACATATCTTGGATAAAATAAATAAGTATTATCCCTTCCCTCTTGAAATTTGGTTTTCTCCTTCTGGCTGGAACGTCATCTTTTTTCTTATTTCAGTCGCATTTGTAGTAGCTATGCTATGCTAAGTTATTTAGCACAGCTGGAGGAGCCAGCTACTCATATTTATAGTTCTTGGTGTGCGAAAAACTTTCCTGGTCATAATATTTTGGACACACAAGCAAGATAGACAGTAGGTCCTTTAACTTCATTTTTTCCCCTGGCACTGAATACATTTCACGTGCATAAAATAATGGTATGCATAGCTGCAAAATTTATGAAGGCCTTGGAAGGCTTGATGGATTTGCTGTCAACTATCGAATTTATACTCACGGTAATAAAAACAAAATTTTCATTTAATATAAAAGAAGTGCACAGTATAGTAGGTCGAAATATGAATGTAGGGTAAACTTTTCAGTTTTTCAGTTTTTACATTTATAATGCAAATGAGCTGTAATTCTTCAACCTCACATGGCTGTGGATTTTCTCTCTACACAGCAACTTTATGATTAATTTAGTGGAAATTTCTATAAGTATTCTTCCTGATATTAATAGATAATGTTTAAAAACAATGGAATTGACGTGTTATTACTTGTATTGTTTTGTTAAATAATATCCTTTGTATCATTTTATGTTTTTTTCTCAAATACTTCCAATCCTCCCTTCCTATTCTTCTTTGATTTGTCGAGAACAATTATGACCCCAAGTCACTGTGAAATAAATGGGTTGTTGTTTGGACAGTTCCACAATGATAGTGATAGTTCATGGACTAAAATGTATGAGCTATAACTGCACCGGGCTAATTTTGTACTTTTGCTTGCAATTTTTTTTTTTTTATTTAAAAAAAGAGGACAAAAAGAAGAATTAACAGTCAGTTATTTTACTTAAATTATCTTGTTTATTTGATTTCCTTTCCTGATTGTTTTATTCCAATATTAATATATTCCAGCATGGTGTTTACTGCAGGGTAGGGAGGCAGGTGGTCAATATCGCTTCCTTCATGGTGAGGATGGACTCACAGAAGCACATTGATTTCTCGCTCACAAGTCCGCTTGGGGGTGGACGTCCTGGAAGAGTGAAGCGAAGGAATCAGAAGGCAGGTGCAAAGAAGGCTTCGGGGGGAGACGGAGATGAAGAAGATGAAGAATGAGACCTCGCATTCAGTGAAGTTCTCTATGGTAATACTAGAAAGTATGGGCCAGATTTTGTTGTCTTCGTCTCTGTCATATCAAGTTTTGCATGCTTTGCGTTTATCTCTTCGCGAATGTTCTTTAAGAAGCCCTTTATTAGTTTTGTACCGTGGTACGGTGACTTCTTGTTGAGTATGTTTTTGGTTTCTCAATGAACGACGAGTTGGTAGTACAATTGCCAAATTTAAATATGAATGAGTATTGCTTCTTTAGTGGATCTACTGTGTTTTAAGAGACCATTGTTTTTGGTGCAATGGTAATAATAGCTCATGTTGACAAATGTGAGGAGCTCTAGTCTTCCGGCCGCTTGCTCATGTTTCTTCCTTATTATTTGCTTGTGTGTGTGTATGTGTGTGTTCCTTATTATTTGCTTGTGTGTGTGTGTGTGTGTGTTTTGAAATTTTGTATCAGTTGCCCACCCAAGTTATAGTAAATTTGTTTTTGTCAGATTTTTGTCCTTGTGATACCCTTCTTGAAGCAGATGCATAAATGAGTGATTCCAATAATCATCTGGACATCAAAACAACATAAACGTGCATGTGTTTATGGTAATTCCCCAAATTACTTTATTTGGAATTCTCTTCCTGCTTGTTTTTTAATGAAAAGGGCAAGTGTAACGCTTCCCTGCTGACCCGACCCGGCCCAACCCAAATGCTTAAGTTAACACGGTAAGCCTAGGAGGGTCATTTTGTGGTGAGCTGTTGGATAAGTAAGATTGTGTCCTTAGTCATTGATTGGGATGTGGTTCTCTTGATCCTACCGATTCCAACAGCTAAATGTGCAAGTTCACGGTGAGAGCACCTTCATGACGGTTTGGTGGTGTAGCTGTAGGCTTTAATGTTGTAAAAACTCGATGTTTTAGGAATGAAAACCCAGAAATGCCTCAAGTTCGTGCACCACTGTACATTAAAGGAACTTGGAGATACGGAGATGACGAAACAACAGTGAGAGCAATTTTTTTTCCCCCCTTATCGTAGTTGTTCTTAATGGAGATATTTAACATTTTATCAAAAAAGCAGAGAGGATGTGTTAAAATTCACCTCTTTTATTTACTTCCGTAGTACTGTTTTTTTTCAATCCATTTTCTTTCATAGTGCAAGAGGCTCCTTACCAGATTATTTAAGTCTTAATAGTTAGATATAAAACATAAATTACTTTTTTTTTTAATTATTAATGAAATCTGATAATTAATATTTAAAATGCACATATATTTTCTTACATGTGAGGGAGCAAATTAACATTTCATGTATATATACATATTTATTTATTTTACATATCAACTCTTTCTTTCTCCTTTTCATTCATTCATGAGTAAACTGGTCAACCGACAATTTCTCCATGCCAATAACTCATGAAAAAACTATAACAAACCAAAGTACCTTTGGCCCAATAATATAACCTCTCCATTTTCAAAGAAGAAGGGAGGGGTTCAAACCCGACGGCGTGGGCAAAAAAAGTATGTGTGTGTTTATTTTACCATTAAAAAAAAAAAAAAAAAACTTATAACAAATTATAAAAACGCAAATAAATTATGATATAAAAAAATTACATAAATAAGAATATGCAAAACCATACGCGGTTCATCACAAATTGCATTAGCATATGCCCAAATTGGTTACAATGTTTTTAGAAAAACATTAATTTTAACTGTACACATATAAATAAAATATTAATTTACAAACAAGAACTTACAAAATCATACGTGTTGATTTTGGTGAGATTGTGTGTCAGTTAATCAAATCAAAGGGACTGCGTCTAACTTTTCCTTTGTTCTCTCTCTCTCTCTCTCTCTCTCTCTGCCGTTCGGTCCCTTCTGCTGTGCTCTCTGCTCCCTTTCATGGGAGTGGAGAGGTGAGCCTACTTGCTTCCCACATGTTAATAATATCGGTGTGTCACAATAAGTTCACATGTGAGTGGTTTTTCATGTCGTTTTTTGTTTTTGTATAGCTAGATCTGCTCTTATTTGATTTGTTTCGGACTCAACAGAATGGATTTGTTGTTTTCTTTTCGGCTAGATCTCTGATCTAGGTCGATTTTTGTTTTTTCCCTGGCTTGATTTGATCTTGTGCGGTTGGGTGTGTGGAGGCGCCTTGTGGATGCAGTTTTGGAATTGTTGCCTTGATGATGGTCTGACCTGAGATCACTTTAGTTTGTTGTTCTTCTCCTTTGGTGGTTTTCATTTTAGAGCGGTGGCTTTTTCTCAACAAACTTGGAACCTGTTCTTTATTTTATTGTATTATTTCATGATTTGTATGTCTTTATTTGACTTGGCTTATATCTTTGTACTGCTCCCTGATTTGGCCTTTGTGCCTTTTAAATGATAAATAAAATAAAATAAAATCAAATCAAATCAAGGGTAAAAATGATATTTCATGTTTTAATTGTATACATCAGGAATGACACAAGCATGGAGTTAAATAAAGCAAAAGTATAATGGAAAAATCACTTTTTTTTGTCAAAAAGAAACGGCTGTTAGTTCAGACAGGAGGTGTGAGCAATTTTTGACCCCTCAAATTATTTCTAGTTTAATATGAGAGTAATAAATATTGTTTTATGGAATGACAGCTTATGTTGACAAGTTTTAGTTGGTTTCTCTCTCCCCTGCCTACGTTGTGCATTTATTGTTCATTTTTTGATATTTTATATTTACACAGAGCATCATGACTGTCATGGTTTTGCAAAGATTTGTTTTGATATCATTTGTCAGGACGTGCGGGTAAATATATATTGCCCGATTTGTACTTCATAATTTTCAAAATGTGTATACATTATAAAATATGTTACAACTACGATATTAGGTTGTGGTTGAGCGTTAAAAGAAGTTCTGACTGGACAATCCTGTTATGTATGTATACATATATATTTTTTTCCGTGTGTGGCTCTGAAATATGATATATATAAATATATAATAAATGCCAATGAATTAGATGAAGCAGTCTTAAGTTGCATGTCAAAACCATCTTCCTCAAAAACAAGTTTAATGTTGTCAAATCCATTAGAGGGCAAGATCTAATGACCAAATTTTGTTCGCAACATAATGCTCACAAGAGCCCACTGTCGGTGAACCCCCAGAAATGGGGTATAGCCCGAGGATGATGGACACTGTACCATATGCGGGACCCACAATTGGGTCCCAGGTTATCTGTAAATAAAACAAAACCAATCAAAATGCTTTTGGATTTTAGGTTGCCCATAATGGGACCTCCGTCAGAGAACAATTGAAGAATTTGTGTCCTAAAATCAATCCCAAATTATTATACCATCATCACAATGCTGACTTTGGAAACCATTCATGTTTTTCCTTATGTTATTTACGTCTCTCTCCCTCTCTCTCTATATATATATGGTATATATTAGAGTGATAATCGTAAGAGTCATCCCTTCTCTCTTTGGCTCTTTTTTGATATGGGCTGAGTCGGCTGACCACGAATTTTCTAAGATTGATTTTAATTATCGTTTTGGTCTATCAAAAAAGAAAGAAAAAAAAGTAAATAGATTAATCATGTTAAACTTGCACGGTTCCAATTTCTATTTTTAATTTTAAATTAAAATTTTCATAAGAAACATAGCTCTTTAGAATTATTTTACTCTGAATTGTTTTTATACGTAAGCCGGATAATAATTGAAATTGAAGTATTAACTAAAAAAATAATTGAAAAAATGAGCTATTTTAGATGAAAATATATATTAAGTTAAAGTTATTTTTTATTTACTTTGGTAGTTTGATTTGATTTTAATTTATTATTATTGTTCAAGGTCATCCATTTTCAAATCATTTCCAGCTCTGTCATTGCGAGGGAGCGAGTACTCTCCATTACCAATATATATATATATATATATATATATGATTTTCCAAGGTATTTAACTAATTATAATGCTGCAAAGAAAATAGCAACAAGATATATAATTAAGTCGTGGAAAGTTGTTCACTTTTGTTTGTTTTGGCTGAATTGACATGATGAATGTATGTGCTTCATAATCTGATAACTATTATTCCTTTTAGCCCCCTTTAATTTCATCAATTTGGTGATCACAATCAAGAAAATAGACATGGGTGCCATAAACTCAATCAATAACTCTATTCTCTCACTTCTACACCTAGTGCATAATAATACCCACGATTTACATAGCACTTTTAGAAGAAATTATTAGATGATCCTGGATCATTAATACTTGGTGAATTAGTTAAATACAGACTCTCAAATTGAGAAAATGATCCCACAAGTCCACTTTCTAAACCTATTATATAGCCTGAAATTGGAAGTCTAAATTGCTTCTCAACTGATTTTGATTTATGATTTTGATTTACGATTCAAACACAAATAATGTTTTTGTTATAGGGTGCGTTCAATAGTGATTAGAAGTACATTTTGTAACGTAAAATTTGTTGCAAGACTTTTAAAAATAAAAACATGAAAAACATGTTTGATGAAAAAATAAATAAAAATTAAAAGATTGAAAACAAATTTGCTAATTAAAAAAGGCCACTAAGAGAATTATTTATTTATTTATTTATTTTTAGTACTGTTCGTGTTTTAATGTAGTGCAAAAACATTAGAAAACGGCAATTTGGTGTTTCTAATTTGGATCTATTTTTGACAACAAATACAATACTATTCAAAATTTTAATTTGGGTATCTTACTTTTTAATTTTTAATTTTTAATTTTTTTTATACCATATTAACCCACAAATAAAAATAAATTACTTGTTTTTTAATTTATGATAGTAGTGAATTACTTGTTTGTATAGGTTTACACCACACTATTAGGCCCTTATCAACCAGTAAAAAAGTGACATGTGGCAAGTTCTACGAACCAAATTCATTGGAAATGAAGCAAGTGGCCACCCAAAAGGGGTAAATCACCTACAACAAAGCCCACAAAGATAATAAAGACTAGAAGCTGTGGATTAATGAGAGAGGAACATGTGGCAAGTTCAAGAAGAACCTACCAAATCGAATTTCAATCCCAAAGGCCATTGGATGAGCAACACGTGGCTATTTAAAGCAAAATAATTGTACGAAGTTGAGGTCCATGGAATGATGGAAAGTTAAAAACCTCAAAGTCAAGAGTGGCCCAAATATTCCCACGTGGCTTGATCAATCAATCCAACACAGGAAGTAATTTGGTGTTACTTGACTTATCAGAAGAAAGACAATTAGGGTTGTAGTACTGCATGGCAATCATCCAAATAGAAAAGACAATTAGGGTTGTAGT